CAGCCCTGCACCTTGTTGTCTCGGATTCTCCAGCATCTGCAGTTCCTACTATCTCTATATAATACAGTCACCTTACAAGGCACAGATTGCATGACAGAAATGTGCCTTATTGGTAAAGATTCCGTTCCATCAACAGCCCTTGTCTGAACAGGGATTAGGCCTTTTACGTGGGCAAATAGGAAGCTTAACAATTGTTTGAGGCCTCAGTCCTGAAATTGGGCTGCCTAGGGCCTGTGCCAATTCTCCGTAAACATAGTCCCTTCATGGGACCATGTGGAGCAGCTGCTAAAAAGGAAATTTAATAAAAGTTAAATAGTTAACAGGATGTGGAGCCTAGGAAAGCAATTCACAACTCCTGACTGCCAAATGCCTTGTTGCCAGGGAAACAACTAGTCTAATTCATTCTCTAGATGCCCAATTGTTCTGCAGAAGGACAACAATCTGTGGCTAAATTTTGACTGACCTCTGGTGCATATCAATGCACCTCCAGCCCAAGAAAAGGCTAAATTGGATTTTGGTCCTTTTTGCCATATATCTTGTACTATCCATCCAACCACAATATTTTAAAAGTTTTATTATTAGTATATTCTTCGACTTTTCCCACATACTTCAAACAACATTCAGTATAGTCTTGCCATCTAGATTTTATTGAAATAATTCTGATAAACAACCAAAATGTTTTAGCTATTTTTAAATTCCAAATAGAATAATTTGAATCATTGTGTTAATTCAGTGCTCCTTATGCAGTTCTGGGAATTGTGTAGACTGCACATATTCAGAATTCAGACCTTCCTCAGTCATCTCAGAGTCAGAAAGCCCATGACCACTGTTTTCTCTAACAGCTGGTCTTTCAGTCAATAAGTGTTGAGCTGTTGCCTTGAAGTGCTGTTAAACAAAGTTACTGGTGTTGCAGCAGATTGTTACAATAAACCAGGGACCTATTCAGTTCCCTCATCTTCTGGCCCATTCAGTCATTCATTGAAACACTGCGATAGAATAACACCAACTCTAGTGCTTGCCTTTACAGAATGTATTGACTATTGTTACTTTTGACAAGCTTCAACTGAAACACTGTACTTATTCCTATAGAGAGACCTCCTCCAGAAAACTCCACCAAAGGCACAAAGCAGAAAGACAAGGAAAAAGAGAAAGAACAGAAGACAGAAGAAAAATCAAAGGAACCAGAGGAAGTGAAGCCCATCCAGAGCAACACAAGACCAGAACCTAGTCAGAACATCCGGGAAATAATTAAATTGTACCAGAGCCAGCCGAAACAACCTCCACCTCTCTATCAACCTGTCAGGTGAGAGCATAGAGCAGAATGTCCACATTCTTAGACTGTGAACTCTAGACAATATTCAGGAGAGGTGAGTAATGCTAAGGAAGGTCAGGGATCAAGACTGGTGCCTCCAAATGGAGGCAAGCAAAACATTTAAAACCAGAGGGCCCAAAGAGGCAGGTGGCTCAGGCATATCCATTAGGAACTCACACCTGACCTTCCCTCCCCTTAGCCCCTTTATTTTGGCCAAGGAGACTCTGAGAAGTTGGTTTCTCCAGCCTGTTGACATGAGGTGCCACAGAAATGAACCCCCTCACTGGAGTAAGTGGGCCACAGACCACTTCATATTGGTCTCATTTGCATGTCGTTTGCTGTACCAACTGGACAGCCACAGATAGTTATAGTTTAGGTCACTGTGTCCCCAGTAGGGGACAGGTACATCTGGGGAGAGAGAAAATGATTGAGAAATTAGGGTTGAGTGGGTTAGATTCAAACAGGGCCACAGTGAAAAATAATGGGAATAGGATAAGTAATGTTAAAAAGTCATGCCTTAAGGCTTTGTTCCTTAAAGCACAGAGAACTAGCAATAAAGTGGATGAAGTAATTGCGCAAATAGATGAAAACAGGTATGATATAGTTGGGAATACGGAGAAATGGCTGCAGGGTTTTTTTTATTCACTCATGGGACATGAGCATCTCTGGCTGGCATTTAGTCCCCCTCCCTAGCTGCCCCTGAGAATGCGATGATGAGCCACCTCCTCAGCCTGTGCAGTCCACATGGTGTCGGTTGACTCACAATGCCTTTAGGGAGGAAATTTTAGGACTTTGACCCAGCGACAGTGAAAGATATATTTCCAAGTCTGGACGGTGAGTGACTTGTAGGGGAACTCACTCATGGTGACCAATGATGGGAACTGATCATCTAGGGGTATTCAGTATTTAGAAAGAACAGACAGAAAGGAAAAGGTAGTAGATTTGCATTGCTGGTTAAAGAGGAAATCAATGCAATAGCGAGAAAGAATATAAGCTCTGACCATGAGGAATCGATCTGGATAAAGCTGAGGAACACCAAGGGGTAAAACAGTAGAGGTGATGTTGGGAACAGCATTAAACATGAAATTAAAGAAATGTGCAATAAAAGAACATCTGTAATTATGGATGAATTTAATCTCAATATAGATTGGACAAATGACATTAATCACAAAATAGTAACATTCTTCCTTAGAGGAGGAATTCCTGGAATGTATATCAGATGGTTTTCTGGACCAATACATTGAGGAACCAACCAGAGAACTTGGAAACATTAAAATATAGAAGATGGGAGCAGGAGGAGGCCATTCGGCCTTTCAAGCTTGCTCCTCCATTCTTCACGATCATGGCTGATTGTCCAACTCAATAATCCAATCCTTCTTTCTCCCCATAACCTTTGATCCCATTCGCCCGAAGTGCTACATCTAGTTGCCTCTTGAATACATTCAATGTTTTGGCATCAAATACTTCCTGTGGTAATGAACTCCACAGCCTCACCACTATTTGAGTGAAAAAATGTCTCCTCATCTCCATCCTAAATTGTCTACCCCAAATCCTCATACTGTGACCCCTGGTTCTGGATACACCGACCATCGGGAATATCCTCCCTGCGCCTACCCTGTCCAGTTCTGTTAGAATTTTATAAGTCTCTATGAGATCCCCTTTCAAGACTGTGTATTATGTAATGAGAAAGGAATAATTGGCAATGTGGCTGTGTAAGGCCCTTTGGCAATTAGCGATCATAATTTGCTTGAATTCCTCATCAAGGTGGAGAGTGATGTAAATGATTCCACAACTAGGGTCTTGAATCTAAATAGAGGAAACTACAATGGTATGAGGCTTGAGCTGGCAGTAATAAATTGGGGAAAGTTACTTAACGGGATTAATTTGGATAGGCAATGGCAAACATTCAAACAGTGCATGGAGAAATTACAACAATTGTTTATTTCTGTCTGGAAGAAAAGTAAAATGGGAAATGTAGCCAAACCATAGCCTATAAGGGAAATTAGAGATAGCACTAGATCCAAGGAAGAGACACACAAATTGGCCAGAAGAAAAACAGCAGACCTGAGGACTGGGAGCAGTTTAGAATTCAGCGAAGGAACACAAAGGGATTGATTAAGAAAGGGAAAATGTACTACAGAGTAAGCTTGTGGGTGACATGAATTCTGACTATAAACCTTTCTATAGGTATACGAAGAAAAAAAGATTGGTGAAGACGAATGAGGGTCACAAACAGGGGAATTTATAATGGGGAACAAAGAATTGGCTGACCAACTTTGTGGTCTGTGTTCACAAAGGAGGACACAAATAACATACGAGAAATATTTAGAAACACAGGGTTTAGTGAGAGAGAAACACTGAAGGAAATCAGTATTATTAGGGGAAATAGTGTTGGAGAAATCAACAATATTGAAGGCAGGTAAATCCCCTTGGCTTGATATTCTACATCCTAGAGTACTTAAGGAAGTGGCCCTCAAAATAGTGTATGCATTAGTCATCGACAATCAAGACCCTTTAGACTCTAGAACAGTTCTTACAGGTTGGAGGGTAGATAACTCCTCCATTTAAAATGGGATAGTGTGAGAAAATCAGGAATTATAGACCGTCAGCCCAATTTCTATGGTAGACAAAATGCTGGAGTCCATTAAAAAAGATTTGATAGCAAAATATTTGGAAAACAGTGGCAAGATCAGACAGAACCAACATGGATTTACAAATCGATTTGCTTAACAAATTGGATATCATCAAGGAAGTAACTAGTAGAGTTGAAAGGGGAAACTGGTGAATGTGATTTATTTGGATATTCAGAAGGCCTTTGACAAAGTCCCACATAAGAGATTAATGTGTAAAATTAAAGCACATGGGATTAGGGTAATTTATTGAGATGGATAGAAAATTGGTTTAGCAGACAGGAAAATAAGGAGTAGGATTAAATATGTATTCGTAATTTTGACAAGGGAATGATCTGTAATATCTCCAAATTTGCAGATGACACTAAACTGGGTGGAAGGGTGAGCTGTGAGGAGGATTCAGAGACACTTGTGTGATTTGGATAAGTTAAGTGAGTAGGCAAATACATGGCAGACGTAGTATAATATGGATAAATGTGAAATTATCCACATTGTTAGGAAAGACAGGAATGCAGATTATTATCTGAATGACTATAAATTAAAAGAGTGGAATGTGCAATGGGACCTGAGTGTCTTTATATACCAGTTACTGAAGGTAAGTGTGCAGGTGCAGCAGGCAGTAAAGAAGGCAAACTATATGTTGGCTTAAAGTGAGACGATTGGACTACAGAAGTAGGGACGTCTTGGTTCACTTATACTGGGCCTTGATGAGACCACACTTGGAATATTGTCTCCTTTAGTCTCCTTATCGGAGGAACACTGTTCTTGCTATAGAGGGAGTGCAACAAAGGTTTACCAAACTGATTCCTGGGATGGTGGGTCTAATGTTTAAGGAGAACAATGGGAGGAGTTGTGATTGGGCGGAGGAATAGTTGGAAGGGGAAGCGTCAGTTATTGGAAGAGGGTGGCGTGTGATTGTGCAGCAAGGGGGGTCTGATCTGAAGGAGTATGAAGGAAGTGGGAGAAAGATGGGCTGTGATTGGAAGAAGTGGAGAAGCAATTGGAGTAGCAGCAGCAATTTGGGAGGGTCAGTGATTGGGAAAGGAATATGATCATAGGTATGTTTCACCTTTTCTCCTGGAATCCTGCATCAGGAGCTGCATTGTGAGCCATTTGTTTGAAGCTAGCTTTAAACAATTTGGTTGCAGATGTAAAGACAATAATATATCAGCAACAGCTCTTTTGATGCCTCCATCAATGAGCGGTACAACTCCACCCCACATCCCCTTAGCGAATCTATTTCGAGAGGATAAGTAAGGTAGGATCTATTTAGAAAGCAGAATCTCATAGGTAATAACCTCTAGATTATTAATAAGAAGTGGATAATCTCTGGATTATTTCCTGAGCCATGAAGAAATCAGTTGAAGGTAAATAAGAGTTCAACGTATGGCTTAAAGATTGGAATGGAAGAAAGGGGTTCCACTTGTTGGGGCACTATTGGACACTTTTGCACATGTTTTATATCAGATTCGATGTCATTGAATTTCTAAGTCAAAATATTCACCTTTGAGCTGGACATGTTTGCTATTGATGCAGACAATGTCTGTTTTCTTTATTGCTACTTTTTAAAATGAAGCAAACTGTATGTTTTATGAATGCCCAGTCTCTTATTTTGTTTGCAACTTAAAATATCCTGACCCTTGAATGGAATCCATCAGGTGACTGGCTTTGCATTGGTTGTTCAATGTACATTGACCTGTTGGACCATACATCTAATGTTTATCTTCCATTGCTATAGGAGGTCAGCAAAACCATTCCTGAAGAAAAGCAATCCCAAGGATGAGGCATTATCTCTCTTAAGAATGAGAGAATCAGCATCTCCCACTGAGGTAGAGGTAAGTGGGGGTCAGTTTAGCTCAGTTGCTGGACAGTTGGTTTGCTAATATGTGATGCCAAGAGTGTGGGTTCAATGCCCACATCAGTGCAAGTTACTATGAAAGACTCTCATTCTCACACTCTCCCCTTGCCTGAGGTGTAGTGATGATGTGGAGGTGACAATGTTGGACTGGGGTGGACAAGGTCAGGAATCAAACAATACCAGGTTATAGTCCAACAGGTTTATTTGAAAACACAAGCTTTCAGAGCCTTGCTCCTTCTTCAGGTGTCAGTGAGAGAGGTGGTATCAGACACAGAATTTATTAGTAAAAGATCAAAGGGTCACACAACTGATGAGGATCTATTAAACAAGCCTAAGATGCTGTTAAATAAAAACTGAAAGAACTGCGGATGCTGTAAATCAGGAACAAAAACAGACATTGCTGGAAGAATTCAGCAGGTCTGGTAGCATCTGTGAAGAAAAATCAGAGTTAATCTTTCTCATCCAGTGACCCTTCCTCACAATTCTTTTCTAACAACTTCTGTTTTTGTTCCTAAGATGCTGCTAAATCTGCAATCAGTTAGAAGGTTTTAATTGATTAATATGTATATGCAAGTCCCTGAATTTCTTTTAAGTCACCACCCTGAGAGAACTAAAGGTTTTATTAGTGCAGAGAAGAGGTGACATTTTACAAATTACATGAATTTGTGAGGATAGTGTACCTTTGCAATAAAAATAAAACACTGCAGATGCTGGGAATCTGAAATAAAAACAGAAAATGCTGGAAATATTCAGCAGGTTTTAAAGCATCTCTGGAAAGGGAAACATAGTACATTTTGAGTCTTATCTGATACTCCTGCAGAACTGCAAGGGGCTGAAAAATATGTTTTTTTTTATGCTGTTGACAGAGGTGGGGAGGGAGGAAGAGTGAGTGCAACAGTTGGTGAGGGTGCCCAGAGCAAAAGACAACGGGAATGCGAATGGTGGTAAAGGAATGGTAGAGATGTAAACTAGATGTAAATAATAGTTGTGGAAAGGAAAGAAAAAAATGGTCTTTACCAAAGAGGATGATGCTATCCTGACCACGATGACAGAGGAAGAAAATCTATCACATGAACAATTCAAGACTGAGTGTTGGTGTAAGGCACTGGAACCAGATTAGATTTATTCAAGGATTTTGAATGAAGTATGGGTTGAAATTGCGGGACCACTGGCCATAATATTTCAGTCTTCCTTAACCTTCAGTGAGGTGTCAGAAGACCGGAGAATTGTAAACATTATGGCCTTGTTCAGAAACATAAGCCCAGCAGTTATAGGTTTAACTTCAGTGGTGGGGAAGCCTCGAGAAACAATTATTTAGGATAATAGTAGTAGTCACATTGAAAAAGGAAGGTTAATTAGAAAGAGTCAGCATGGATTTCCAAAGGGAATGCTTAACTAACTTGCTGAAGATTTTTAATGAGGTAACAGAAAGGGGTGATGGTAATGCTGTGGATGTGGTGTGCATGGATCTTCAGAAAGCGTTTGATACAGTGCCACATATCAAACTTCTACAAAAAGCTACAGATCATAGTGTAAAAGGAGCAACCATGGATATAAAATTGGCTGAATGATAGGAACCAGTGGGAAGCAGTCAATGGATATTTTCCAGGCTTGAGAAAGATTTATAATAGAGTTTCCTGGGGATCAGATCAATGCAGCTAGAGACATCAAGCAGGAGCAAAGCATGTCCTTTCAGGAAGAGAAAAGAAAAGCAGTCAGCCGCATTAGTCACAGAGCTTGTGATTTACTGATGTATTGACATAATGTAGTTACGCTGAGTTTTTGAGGAAAGCAAATACAACTAAAAGGTTATGAAGAAGATCGGTATTTTCTCTAAGCTCTTGATTATTTCTGTTGCAGAATGGTGTCGGAAAGAAGACAAAAGCTGCAAAGGTTCCACCTAAGCCAGCACCAAAACCACATCGTCATCCTCCGTCTTCACAGCTTTCAATACAGGACCAACTTGCAAAGATATATGCTCCACCACCAGCAGAGCCTTCACTGCCATCACCTCCCCCACCTCCTCCACCTGGTCCCTCTTCAGCATCAACATCTACCAGTGAATTTCAACTCCCCCCAGTTCAACAAAAGAGAGAGGAAGGTAAGATCAAGCACATATTTTGTTATATATTTCATGAGATATGGATGTTGCTGGATGTGCCAGTGTTATATCATCAATACATCAGTAAATCACAAGCTCCGTGACTAATGTGGCTGAACTGCTTTGCTTTTCTCTTCCTGAAAGGCCATGCTCTGCCCCTGCTTGATGTCTCCAGCTGCATTGATCTGATCGCCAGGGAACTCTATTATAAATCTTTCTCAAGCCTGGAAGATATCCATTGACTGCTTCCCACTGGTTCCTATCACTCAGCCAATTTTGTATCCCTGGTTGCTTCACTTTGGGTCTGTGGCGGAAGGAGCGAATGTTAGAGCAAATGTCCTGAGACAGATAGCTCACTATCCTATCCCATTCTCCAAGGATTTCCTCATTATTTAACTCAAAATCCAAATCTTCTGGATTTGATTCCTCACTCTGAGTGACAGTAACTAATACCTGTTTCTTCGGTTCCTGTCCCTGTTGTAGCAAGATTTCAGCATATTCACATGGCATCCCCGATAAAGTATTTTCCTATCTGGCATTTTAACCAGATAACTTCTTATCAATCAATCTGATAATTATCACTAAGCCTTGCTTTGAAGAGATCTTATACCACTGGCAACAGCTCCAAAACTTTATCCTCAATGGCAAACATACAAATTTTAGATTTCTTATCTGCTTCTTGCTTCGTTAGATGCTGTGCCACTTTCAAATGTTGTCTAGCTAATTCACCTACTCTGTTTAATCTTTCTCTCACCTCAGATATATAATCCAACCATGCAATCGCTGACTTTGGGACTTATCAACTTTTCCTTAATTAAATTTAAAGGCCCTCTTACTTTGTGTCCGAAAATCAACTCAAATGGAGTAAACTGAACTGATTCATTTGGAGTATCTCTAATGCCAAACAATATAAATGGGATATCTTTATCCCAATCATTTGGGTAATCTTGGCAATAAGCCCTCAGCATTGTCTTTAGGATGTGATGCCACCTTTCCAATGGTCCCTGTGATTCAGGATGGTATACAATTGATTTAAAGTGTTGGGTGCTTAAACTATCCAAGACCTCCTTAAATAGTTTGGCAGTAAAATTGGACCCTTGTTCTGACTGAATCGCCCCGGGTTATTCATAACGGGTAAAGAAAGCAAGCAACTGCTCCACAACATTTTTTTGTCTTGACATTCCATAATGGAATTTCTTCTGGAAACCTGGTAGGCACATCCATTATGGTTAGCAAACATCGGTTCCTACTTTTGGTTTTAGGGAGGACCTACACAATCAATTATAACCCACATGAAAGGTACCTCAAATGCAGGAATTGGCATCAAAGGCTCTGGTTTTATTACTGCCGTGGCATATATGACAGGTATGGCAAAATTCAACCACATCCTTATGCAATCCAGGCCAATAGAAATGTTTCTGTAACTTGACCTGAGTCTTCCTCACTCCTAGATGACCTCCTACAGGTAACTCATGTGCTACCCACAATACTTCCTGTCTGTATGCTACCAGCAACACAATCTGGTGAACTTACACCCATTTCTCATCTGCACTAACCTGCCGCAATCTCCATTTTCGCTTTAGGATTCTATCCTTAAGATAATAACATTCCGGAATACATTCTGATTCCTTTTCTGTGTAGGCTTTATGATATAAACCTTTTATTGTCTCATCTTTTTGTTGTAACTCTAGTAATCTTTCAGACCTATACACCTCTGCCTGATCCTCTACCTGTTCAGGTTTATCCTTTAGCATTTCATCAAACAGGATATTTTTTATTTCAACTCCTCAGTTCCCTGGTTTTCCTTCAGCTTCTCCACCACAAGGTGCATCACTCCCAGCTTTGATCCACTAGGTCGTTTCCAAGAACAAACTGTATTCCTGGAATAGATACTCTTTCAATCACTCCTACTGTCACTTCCCCAGTCTTGATTGGGCTTTCCAGCCTTATCTTACACGGGGCAATGCCAAATCTCTCTCCATTTATTCCACAGATTACCGCTCTCTCGGATAACATTTCAGAAAGAGTGCAAATACTTTCATCTCTTACTGTTAGAGGCAGGCTAACCTCAATATTGTAACTTCTTTACATTCTCCCCCTGTTCTTACTGAGTAAACCTTACTCACAGAGGTGACGTTTTTGTAGAGATTGGGCACCATCTCACTATCCAGCCCCGTGACTAGGCTGTGCTCTCTCCTGCAGCTCCTCGACTTCTTTTGGGATTTTCTTCACTGCCTTAACTAATCCCACTGGTTTAGCCTCTTTTACCACATCCTTTATCCCAGTCCCTTTCTTAAACCACTAGCACCGTGACTTTATGTGTCTCACTCTATTACAGTGGAAACATCTGAGGCCTTCCACCTCTTTTTCACCCTCGTGGGTTTCTTTATTCACCTGTGGTAAACTTTTCCCAGTGTGATCAACTTTTGTTTTTCATTGAAGGATCTCCCTTTTTCCCAATTTCTATCCCTCATGGAATGAAATTGCTGTCAGAAGCTAAACTTTGATTTATGCACCAACGTGTATTCATCCGCCATGTCTGTAACTCTTCTCGCTGTTTGAACTTTCTGTTCCTCAACACGAGTATTTATCATTTCTGGAAGTGACCTTTTAAATTCCTCCAGCAGAACAATCTCTCTAAGATCCTCATCTGTCTTTTCCAGGTTTAATGCTTTCACCCATCTATCAAAGTTGCTACATTTAATTCTTTCAAACTCAACATAAGCCTGACCTGGCTGCTTCCTTATATCTCTGAACCATTGTCTATATGCTTCTGGTACCAATTTGTAGGCACTCACAATAGCCTGTTTCACTCCTTCATTGTCTCCTGACATCTTCCCTGACAGCACTGCAACCATCTCACTAGCCCTGTTTACCAACTTGGTCTGAATTAATATTACCCAAACAGTCTCTGAACAAAGAGATAACAAGGTGTAGAGCTGGATGAACACAGCAGGCCAAGCAGCATCAGAGGAACAGGAAAGCTGACATTTTGGGCCTAGACCCTTCTTCAGAAATGGGGGAGGGGAAGGGGGTTCTGAAATAAATAGGGAGAGAGGGGGAGGCGGATAGAAGATGGATAGAGGAGAAGATAGGTGGAGAGGAGAGTTGAAGTGGGAGAGAGATCCACTGAGGTTTTTCCGGAGGGAGGAGCGTAACTTCTTCAGGGTAGGCATCCTTAGAAGAGGCTTCGCAGTGGGGTTAAAATTGTTTCAGAGATAGTAGGAACTGCAGATGCTGGAGAATCTGAGATAACAATGTGTAGAGCTGGATGAACACAGCAGGCCAAGCAGCATCAGAGGAGCAGGAAGGCTGACGTTTCGGGCCTAGACCCTGCTTCAGAAATGGGGGAGGGGAAGGGGATTCTGAAATAAATAGGGAGAGAGGGGGAGGTGGATGGAAGATGGATAGAGGAGAAGGTAGGTGGAGAGGAGACAGACAGGTCAAAGAGGCGGGGATGGAGCCAGTAAAGGTGAGTGTAGGTGGGAGTTAGGGAGGAGATAGGTCAGTCCAGGGAGGACAGACATGTCAAGGGGGCGGGATGAGGTTAGCAGGTAGGAGACGGGGGTGGGAGAAGGGGATAGGTGGGAGGAAGGATAGGTTAGGGAGGCGGGGACAAGCTGGGCTAGTTTTGGGATGTGGTAGGAGGAGGGGAGATTTTGAAGCTTGTGAAGTCCACATTGATACCATTGGGCTGCAGGGTTCCCAAGTGGAATATGAGGTGCTGTTCCTGCAACCTTCGGGTGGCATCGTTGTGGCACTGCAGGACGCCCAGGATGGACATGTCATCTGAGGAATGGGAGGGGGAGTTGAAATGGTTCGCAACTGGGAGGTGCAGTAGTTTAGTGCGAACCGAGTGTAGGTGTTCCGCAAGCGGTCCCCAAGCCTCCGCTTGGTTTCCCCGATGTAGAGGAGGCCACAACGGGAACAGCGGATACAGTATACCACATTAGCAGATGTGCAGGTGAACATCTGCTTGATGTGGAAAGTCTCCTTGGGGCCTGGGATGGGGGTGAGGGGGGAGGTGTAGGGGCAGGTATAGCACTTCCTGCGGTTGCAGGGAAAAGTGTTGGGTGTGGTGGGGCTGGAGGGGAGTGTGGAACGGACAAGGGAGTCCCGGAGAGAGTGGTCCCTCCGGAAGGCAGATAAGGGTGGGGAGGGAAAAATGTCTTTGGTGGTGGGGTCGGATTGCAGATGGCGGAAGTGTCGGAGGATGATGCGTTGGATCCAGAGGTTGATGGGGTGGTACGTGAGGACGAGGGGGATTCTTTTATGGTTGTTATTGCGGGGAGGGGGTGTGAGGGATGAATTGCAGGAAATGTGGGAGACACGGTCGAGGGCGTTCTCGACCACTGAGGCGGGGAAGTTGCGGTCCTTGAAAAACAAGGACATCTGAGATGTATGGGAGTGGAATGCCTCATCCTGGGAGCAGATGCGGCGGAGGCGAAGGAATTGGGAATAGGGGATGGCATTTTTGCAGGAAGGTGGGTGGGAGCAGGTGTGTTCTAGGTAGCTGTGGGAGTCGGTGGGCTTGAAATGGATATCGGTTTCCAGGTGGTTGCCAGAGATGGAAATAGAGAGGTCCAGGAAGGAGAGAGAGGTATCAGAGATGGTCCAGGTGAACTTAAGGTTGGGGTGGAAGGTGTTGGTGAAGTGGATGAACTGTTCGAGCTCCTCGTGGGAGCACGAGGCGGCGCCGATACAGTCATCAATGTAACGGAGGAAGAGGTGGGGTTTAGGGCCAGTGTAGCTACGGAAGAGGGATTGTTCCATGTAACCTACAAAGAGGCAGGCATAGCTTGGGCCCATGCGGGTTCCCATGGCCACCCCCTTTGTCTGTAGGAAGTGGGACAACAATCTCTGAACAATTCATTTGCCTAGCCAATTTCTCGAAGGAAATAAAAAAGGCTTCTACATCTTTTTCATCGAATTTTGGTAATGTTTGTACATATTTGTAAATATCCCTAACAGGCTATTGGCTACGATGAGTTTGCTTATCCTCACTTCTGTCTTGTACTCTTCGTCCTGCCACGTGAAGTCTTTTTGCTTCAAGTTCCAACTTCATCTTTTCCAACTCAAACATTTGTTCCCTTTCTTCTGCTGTGGCTCTTCTTTCCTTTTCTTTATCTTCTAACTCCAATTGTCTAATTTTCAGTTTAATTTTTTCTAACTCCACTGCATTTGGCTGTTTTGCTGTAATACCTAAATGCTTGACTAACTCCTTTACAATTTCACCTTTCCTCTTCTCCCTAGTTAAACCCAAATGTAGCCTGTTTGCTCAGCCTTAAAGTATATCCTTCCTCTGCCTTTTTAAACTTTCTTAGCAAACTTGGGAAGCATCTTCAAATCCCAAAACCTCTTTAGCAATGTTGAGAGCCATTTCCTTCACTTTTGACTCAACCAACCACAACTAACTGAATTGAAACAGGTTTTTCTCACCTACATTTTAATTAAAGATCTAGGACACTAATCCCCAAGTCTGTTTAAGTCTGTCCAAATCCATTCAGATCCCATACATGAACCAGCCAGATCCCAGACTTGAGTCCACAAAATGTTACGGAGAAGGGGAGGTTAAATGAAAGAAAATCCCTGATATTCACTTTATAAGCAACAATTTAAGCAAACAAATTAACAGAATTACTAACAAACCAAAAAATTCCACCCAACTCCTAATTATTCCCTAACTGAACAAAATTCTCCTGGTAAGTTATTAACACAAGTCCCACTTATATAACCTAAGTAGTGAGAAAAAGAATAAATTAAAACTTAGTTTCTCAAAGTTCACACGGAATGTGTCTTCCGGAATGCTCTGCCTTCTCCACTGTCTCTCCAGTCATAAACACCTTTCTTCTGCTGATCCTGCCGTCAGGGATGTTTTCTCTGTGAAGACTCTTAGTTAGAAGTATTGTGGTGCTTTTTGTAGATAGATGGTGCTTTCTTACAGAGCTTCGTGATTTCTTGTGAAAGCCAGGTGCTTATTTCTCAGATGGCAGTTTGCTCTCACCCTGATTTTCAAAAACCCACTCCTTATATATGCTGGATGATATATCAATTTTCTTACAATAGCATTGGTCCGAGACTGTCAAAACCATCGGATTTAAATTCAATTGGCGTTCAATCGCTAAGTGCTTCGTTTAACTTAATTGGCCGATTCCAGCTAGTTCCCAAAACATCAAAACAAGCCTAATCACACAGCCAATTGATACATTTTTCCATTTTAGAACTGGCTGTACATCTTCAGCTACATACAGACACTTTTTTTCTGTATAAATCTCTAAGCTTAGAAAAGCACTTTATCTCTTGAAGGGACCACACATTGTTGTCCCTTATCTTTTTATTTACAAACAAATTCTAGCTTCCTGCCTTCCAATTCACGATTACTCTACACAACTTCATAACAGTATTGTCTGAGAATTAGCGCCAGAACATTCAGGATAGATGTTAGGAAGAAGTTATTCTACACACAGAGTTGTCGATGATTGGAACTCTCTTCCACAAACAGCAGTGAATGCTGGATCAGTTAGTTCTAAATCTGAGAAAGGTAACATTTTTGTTAAGCAAAAGTATTCAGGGATAAGGGCCAGATTAGCCATGATCTCATTGAATGGTAGAACAGGCTCAAGGGTCTGCATGACCTACTCCTCTTCCTATATTCCTATAACTATGCTGTTTGATTTTTAACAGTCATAAATGTGAAACTACTTTCCTGTATTGTCTCTTCCCTGTGTGCATAAGTGTGCGTGTGTGTGCATGCGTGTGTGTGAGAGAGAGAGAGAAGTCTGGTTAGACCACTTTGAGACTGGATGTGAGGAATAAATAATACTCCTGGTTTAAGTCTCAAAGCAGTTTAGAACTTGAAATGTTAACTGCTTTTTCTCCACAGATGCTGCCAGACCTCCTGAGTTTCTCCAGCAATTTCTATTATTTTTTCATCTTATTTACAAATATGTTCAAACATTACTAAAATGAAGTGTGCAGTGGTCATTCCTACCTGTAAAGTTATGAACAGATGCACTGGGCAGAAAGATTAGTGACAGCGAAGTATAGTAGGTTCTTCTCTCTTGTTGCTTTCCTCATCATTTGCTGCAGACAAACCCTGACAGATATGTCCTTCAGAATTCAGCCAAACAGGTCTGTAATGGTGCAACTGGGCTATTCTTGGTGATGGTCATTGAAGACCTCTTCTAGAGTTTATTCTGTGCTCTTGCCACTGTTACAGCTTCTTCCAAGTGTGTTCAACATGGAAGAGTATTGATTTATCAGCCCACAGAGAGTGCTAAGTGGTATCGAGGAGCAAATTTCCTTGCTCATATTTGCCCTGATGTCATGAGACTTATGGAGTTCAGTCTCAATGTTCTGGACTCAGTAGGCAACTCTCTCCTGACTGTACACTACAGTGTTACTGGGATGTATGGGTGGCTATCAGAGGCATACTCAGCCAATCATACCTTACAGACAATGTCAGGCTGTATCTTGACTAGTCTGTGGAACAGCTCTCCAGAGTTTGGCAGAAGCCCTCAGATGTTTGTTAGATGGACTTTGTAAGGTCAATAGGGCTGCCGATTGTCAGTTTTGATGCCAATTCAATACTGGTTGGAGGGATCAGTCCATTTTCATTCCTGTAGAAGTTTGGTACAACTGTGAGTGGTTTGTTTGTCCATGTCAGAGGGCAGTTAAGTAATAACCAGATTGCTGTGGGTCTGGAGTTCCATGTCGACTAGGCCAAGTAAGGACAGCAGATTTCTTTTCCTAAAGAACATCAGTGAAGCAGAAGGGTTTTTATGACAACTGATGAGAGTTTCATTTTGCAATAACTGGCTCTCAATTCCAGATTTTTATCAGCTAATTGAATTCAACATACCACAAGTTTGGGTAATCAAACATTTTACTGGACTTTATTAGGTCATATCATATAAAATCATGTTCCTGCATAGATCTCAACTTAGCATGATTTTGTATTATATTTAAAATAGAAGATATGAGACATTCACACTCTGCAGACAGTAGCAAGGTGCACTGCAGCAACTCTCCAAGTTTCCTGAACAGCACCTTCCAAACCTACAAACCACAACTTCTACCAACCAGAAGGACTAGGCACATGGGAACACCACCATCTGCATGTCACACACCGTCCTGACTTGGAACTGTATCACTGTTCCTTTTCAGGGGGTCAAATTGCTGGAATAGCCTCCCTAACAGCCCTCTGGTGTCCATTCACCATGTGGACTGCAACAGTTCAAGAAGCAATTCACCACTTCTGAGTAATTCTTTCACTGGATAGAAGTCACTGGCAACAGCAACATTTATTGCTCATCAGTTGAGGGTGGAAAACAAATGCTGAACTTATCAGTAACACTCACGTCCTATGGAAAAATTTTTAAAAAAACCTTTGTGATTATCGTCTGTATTTTTAAATTCAGTCGTGTTGGTGGGAGAGTTTGAGGCTGCTGCTGTTAGCGACTAATGATTTTCTCTCTCATCTTTTTCATATTCACTCAATAGCTTTGGGTCAGTGGGCAGCACTCTTATTCTGAAACAGATGTTTGGGGGTTTAAACGCATTGTTCACCATATCGTTTAGGTTGACATTTCAGTGCAATGCTCAGGCAGCACTGTACTATTTCAGGTGATTCTTTTAAGTGCAAGACCAGTTTTGCCTCTATGTTAGTTAGCTGTAAAAGATCCCACACCATTGTTTAAAGAAAAGCAGAATTCTCCTGGCATCTTTGCTGATCCCCAACCAACATTGAGAAAATATTGAAAAATGTTGAATGCTTCATTTTTGTTTTTGTGATCTTATGGTTCATTGATTGGCTGCTGTATTTTCATACACAGTTAGTTAAGTTAAAGCAGTTTGGGACATCGGCAGGGCATGAGAAGTGCCGTGAAATAAACATTTTGTCTTCTCTTTATCTTGGCAGTGTTCTTACAAGACGAAAATATCAAAACACATCTGTACAGGAAGACAGCCAGTGTTTACTTCTCATATGTTAATATTCCTTGGAAGCTCTACCTTCGCAAAGAGGTACAGAACATAACAACTATGATTGGAATGAATAACAAAGGTATAGGACAGTCAGTAATCAGTGACAGAGTTACTCAGGTGCTGTTGGGAATCACTAACCGAGATACACAGGTACTGTCAGGAATCACTAACCGAGATACACAGGTACTGTTGGAAATCACTAACCAAGATACACAGATACTGTTGGAAATCACTAACTGAGATACACAGGTACTGTCAGAAAGCAGGGTTAGGAATCAGTAACAGAGATACACAGGTACTAGCTGGAATCAGTTACAGAGGTACACAGTTACTGTTGGGCATCAGTAACAGAGATACACAGGTACTGTCGGGAATCAATAACACAGATACACAGATACTGTCAGGAATCAGTGTCAAGAATAAACAGATACTGTTGGGAATCAGTCACAGAGATACACAGGTTCAGTCAGGAATCAGTAACAGATTCAAAAGGGTAACTATTAATCAATATCAGAAAAACAGGGTGTAAAGATTGATGATAACCAACGAAACTGGACTTTAAGAAGTCATAAACAAAGTTACAAGTCACGGGGACTTTCAGTAATTATATATTTAAACTTGTTTTCTGTGGCTGCATTAGATATTTTCTAATCATCCTGTGTATATTTGTATTACACACCTCAGGCAGCAGACTTGAACTTGGGCCTCCTGCCTCAGAGACACAAACACTACCACTGTACCAAAGAACCCTCCTACTACTAATCCATTATATTACTTATCCAGTTCAGTGTCACCTGTCTTTAGTCACTGTTTGTGGTTAGTTTGTGCTATCCATAAAATCAGTAACAGAACCTAGGAATATTTCCAGCAGATGTCGAGGGTCAGTTAATATGAAGACAGTCAATGACAGGACTGGTCCTTGATAATGGATAGTTACATTCGTTTAGAATTATTCTGCATCTTATATTAATGTGCAGTGCTTCACTTTCACTAAGTGGGTGAAACAGCTCTTAATCCTAATACTGCTCTCCTCCACTCTTCTCAATGGTGCTGAAACTTATATCCCCATGGGTGCAGTCCAATGACCCTCACTGATTCACCAGATTTATTCATTCCAGAGGCCCAACCACAAGTATCAGAATGTTATTTGAATGTGGACTTTATTACAGTCAGGACTGACAAGCTCTCCCATCTTGCAGTAAGAATCATAATATCCTGGTTAAAAAAACAGAGGAACCAGGGCTGTTTCTTGCCAGTGTCCAGTTCATTTTAGCTGAGATAACACGATCCACACCAACCAGGATCAAATCTGGAATCTTTCTGTTTTGTATGTCTTAGTAATACAAAATATTTTCTGACAACACTAACTGAATCCTCAATGGTGCTGAAATCAATTGGGGCAGCATGGTGTCTCAGTGGTTTGGACCACTGCCTCACAGTACCAGGGACCTGGATTCAATTCCACCCTCTGGCGGCTGTCTGTGTGGAGTTTGCACATTCTCCCCGTGTCTGTGTGGGTTTCTTCCGGGTGCTCCGGTTTCCTCCCACAGTCCATAGATGTGCAGATTAGTTGGTTTGGCCATGCTAATTTTCCCATAGTGGCCAGGGATGTGCAGTGTAGGTGGGTTAGCCCTGGGAAATGCAGGTTTACAGGGAGAGGGTGGGTCTGCGTGGGATGCTCTTCAGAGGGTCGATGTGGACTTGATGGGCCAAATGGCCTGCTTCCACACTGTAGAGATTTTATGATTAGAACTGAAAAGATGTTGTATCTCTCTGACATTTTATATAACTAACTTTCATCTTTTCCATTGCAGTTGTTTCACCCAAGGGAGAAGTTTAACACTGACTACATTCTCAACCTGATGTGTGAACAGGTAAAAGCATAGTAACTGAAACAGTTCACCTTCTGCACACACTGACAAGGACAAGGGTAAAAAAGGGGGTTAACTGCAAAATTGTGTGGTGCGGAAGACTGAGGTACAATACTGTGTGCTGTAAGAGACTGAGGAACAGGACTGTGTGCTATCCAATTCACAATCTATAATATTAATGCTGCCTATATTGCAAACTCTTTGACTAGTACATAGATACTATATTTGCCTCTATATCTTTGTCCCTAACATCTTCCAGCTCCAAAAACCAGTCATATTTCTGTTCTCCTCCAATTCTTGTCTCTTGGACATGTGCAAATGTTTTCATTTCACCATTGCCTTTTGCTCTGGAATTTAGTCTCTCAAACTCTCTACCTCTCTCCCCATCTGTCTTAAATTCCACCTCTTTGAACAAGCTTTTGGTCTCCTGCTTTTCTGTTGTAGATTGGTGTCAAATTTTGTGTAGAATGTTTTAATATGTTACAGGCACTGTATTAATGCAAACTGTTCTTGTTGTATACCAGTCACACTGCCCATATTACCAGGAGTATTACAACCTATACCATTATTACTTATTGAATTAAAACCTGTATTAATAATTTTAATAATTCATTTATGAGTTGTGGGCATCGCTTGTTAGGTCAGTATTTAAGACTAAGCTTAAATGCCCTTCAGAAATCTTGTGTCCTAGGCCCAACCATCTTCAGCTGCTTCCTTAATGACCTTCCCTCCATTATAATGTCAGAAGTGAGGATGTTCACCAAAGTTGCACAATGTTCAGCACCATATGGAACTCCTCAAACACTGAAGCAGCCCATGTGCAAATACAGCAAGACCTGGATAATATCCAGGCTCAGGCCCAAAAGTGGCAAGTAACATTTGCACTACACAAACATTAGGCAATGACTATCTCCAGCAAGAGATAATCAACTACCATCCCTTGACATTCAATGGCATTACCATCCCTAAATCCTCCACTATCAATATCCTGGCGTTTACTATTAATCAGAAACTGAACTGGACTAGCCACATTAGTACAGTGCTTACAATAGCAGGTCAGGTGCTAGGAATCTTGCAGTGTGTAATTCATTTCCTGACTTCCCAAAGCCCATCTGCCATTTATAAGACACAACTCAGGAGCATGGTGAAATACACTTGCTTGGCTGACTGCAGCTCCAACGATGCTCAAAAAGCTTGATACCATCCAGAACAAAACAGCCTGTTTTACTGGCATCCCACCCAAAATTCACTCCCTTACACACGTACATAACAGTGGCAACAGTGTGCATCGTCAATGATTCCTGCTGCCATAACTCACCAAAGCTCCTTCAACAGCACCTCCCAAACTTGTAACATCTAGCACGCAGAAAGATAAGAGGGAAGGGGTCAGTTAGCTCAGTTGGCTGGATGGCTGGTTTGTGATGTGGAGCAATACCTGCAGCATGGGCTCAATTCCTGCACTGCTGAGGTCACCACGAAAAACCACCTTTCTGACCTCACCCCTCGCCTGAGGGGTGGTGACTCTCAGGTTAAACTCACCACCTGTTGTCTCTCTGTAATGAGAAAGTAGCCCTATGATCCTCTGGTACTATGGCGACTTTAGAAAGTCAAGGGCAGTAGATGCATGGGAACACCTGTCCCTGCAAGTTCTGCTCCATTATCCTGATTTGGACTTACATTACTGTTCCTTCACTGTCACTGGGTAAAAGTCCTGGAACTTCCTTTGTAAAAGTACTGTGTGTGTCCCTATACCCTGATGGACAGCAAGATATCAAGAAGGCAGCTTATCATTCCTTTTTTATAGAATAGAATAGAATTTTATAGAATCCCTACAGTTTGGAAACAGGCCCTTCAGCCCAACAAGTCCACACCGACCCTCCGAGCATCCCACCCAGACCCATCCCCTTATAATCCACCTAAGCTACACATCCCTGAACACTACGGGCAATTTAGCATGGCCAATCCACTCAACCTGCACATCTTTGGAATGCAGGAGGAAACCAGACTACCCGGAGGAAACCCACGCAGACACGGGGAGAATGTGCAAACTCTATACAGACAGTCGCCTGGGGGTGGAATCAAACCCGGGTCCCTGACGCTGTGAGGCAGCAGTGCTAATCACTGAGGCACCGTGCCACCCAGAGCACAAGTGGCAGCGGTGGGATTCAAACCCACGCCTCCGAGGAGACTGGAACCTGAATCCAGCGTCTTAGCCTGCTCGGCCACACTACCACATGCACCTTTCTCCAAGGCAATCAATAATGGGCAACAAAAGCTAGCCTGTACAGCAATGTTCACATCCCATGAATGGCTACAGAAAAGAATTCTGCCTTGATTAAAAGGGTAGTCACTCTCAACACACCCCTGGGTTTCAGCTCTTTTATCCATCTTTGGATCAAGGCTGTAATGAGCTGAATGGATGTGGCAGAAGCCAAATAATGAACAAGTTTTTGCTGAGTAAGTGCCATTTGATAGCACTGTCCATGTTCTCTTCCATCACTTTGCTGATGATTGAGAATTGACTGATGGGGCTTTTGACCAGTTGTGCTGGCTGTATTACAGCTATATCAATCATATTACCTTTATTACAGGCTTATATCAGCTACACTACCAGTGTTTCGGATTCATACTGGTAATACTAACTCTGTAACTCAGACTATTATTATTGTGAAGTTTTCTGAACTTTTCTTTAAAATATATTTATATATTTGTGCTCAGCACAATCATCACATTTTGGATAATGGAGCTGTTAGGAACAGCTTGCAAGACTTGGTGGCATGTGATGGTCCTATTATTCTACCCATGGCTGGTACCACCAAAGATGTAACAAGGTGTAGAGCTGGATGAACACAGCAGGCCAAGCAGCATCAGTGGAGCTGATTTCTGAAGAAGGGTCTAGGCCCAAAACGTCAGCCTTCCTGCTCCTCTGATGCTGCTTGGCCTGCTGTGTTCATCCAGCTCTACACCTTGTTATCTCAGATTCTCCAGCATCTGCAGTTCCTACTATCTCTCACCACCAAAGATGTGTTAGTTTATGTAGTGATTGAACTCTGTAATATTCATGCAATCTGTAATTGCTGAGGCAGTAAATCACTGGGGAATTTGATATTCCTGCAAGGTTCAATAATGTAAACCCAACCTCTGAAATGCATCCCAGTTCTACTAATAATTCCAAAAATGGACAGCAAGGGTATTTCAGAAGAATAGTTTTACAGATCCTAATATTTAGATGTCAAATTAATGAGCATTGGAAGATTTTTTTTCCTCTACATACTTGAAGATTTTTGCACTGGAACAGTAGATGCTATGATGGCACAAAGCCTTCTCCATCAAATACACATTTTAGAATTTCAGTCATTAGGGAATCATACAAGACAGAGGTTCATTTGGCAGACTGCTGTTCGTAAGAGCAATCCAACACTTCTAACTCCTCTGCTGTCTCCAATTTTTTTGTTCATGTTTCTTCCCTCAAATTATTTCTACAAATGCCTTGGAAAGTGACGTTTCAAAATGTTATTCAGTTTCTAGTATTAAATTAGATGATCAGAAAATTGCTCAAAGCAACGGTCCATACTCCTAATGTGCACTTCAAGCAAACATGAAGTTACAAATTATCCTGATAATGTTTGTGCTTGCTTCCGCTTCGTCTATGTGCACGTGTGCATCATTTGTCATGTTTGGAGCATGCCTGTAACTAACAGCAATTCAATATCTCCTCAGATCATTCGAGACACTTACTCTGACAGCTGTACACGCATCTCAAAGGAGGAGCGACACAAGATGCGAGATCTGTTAGGTACATAGATAATCAAATCTTTCAATAATGGTGTCTATTAGGTCAGAGAAATCACCTACTATGCTCTGGCATTTTAAGTATTTGTCCAGATGCTTCTTAAATACTGTGAGAGTACCTGCCTCCATTACCCTTATAGCAGCACGTTCCATAAATCGTCTCCACCCTCTGTGTGAACAATCTTTTCCTCAGATCTCCTCTAAATCACTTACTCGTCTCCTCAAACTTGTGCACTTTGGTCTTAGACATGTCTGTCTGAGGTAAAGATTCTCACAACCTAGTCTCTATACGCCTCTCATAATTTTGAATACCAGAATCAGATCCCCCCCGCATCCTCATCTGCTCCAAGAAAAGCAAACCCAGCCTATCCAGTCTTTCCTCATTACCAAGAATGTTCATCCCAAACAACATCCTGGTGAATCTCCTCCACATCCTCTCCAGTACAATCATGCCCTTACAATAGTGGAAACCAGAACTGCACACAGTGTTCTCTCTGTGACCAAACCAATAATTTATAAAGTTGTAACAAAACCTCTTTGCTCCTATATTGTACCATATATATGCTCCTATATGCTTCCACATGCCTTCTTCACAACCCTGTCTACCTGCGCTGACATCTTCAGGAATCTATGGACTTGTACACAAAGGTCCCTTTCTTCCTCAGTAGTGCTTAGGGGCCTACTATTCATTGTGTATATACTTCCCTTACTAGACTCAAAAGATTGTTGAAACAGAATGGAAAACTGCTGGAGAAACATAACAGGTCTGTCAGGATCTGTGGAGAGAAAGCAGAGTTAACATTCAGAGTCCAATAATCCTTCTTCAGCACTGATTTTATCTAGGAAAAGGTGGTATATGTGCAAGGAACGTTCCACAAATCCCACAAAGTGACAGGCATAAATGGAACCCATGAGGGTACTTGTGACCACACCTTTGATGTGAAGAACGTGAGAGGAGTTAAAGGAGAAGTTACTCAAAGTGAGGACAAGCTCAGCCAGGCAGAGAAAGGTAATGGTGGATGGTACAGTTCAGACCTTCGTTCCAAACAGAGAGCACTGAGACCATCTTGATGGGGGATGGACGTATAAAGAGAATGCACTTCCATGGTGCAGTGGAGGTGGCTGGGACCTGCAAACTGGAAATTTTGAAACCACCATAAAACGCTAGAAGAATCACGGATGTAAGTGGGAAGGCACTGGACAAGGGAAAAAAATCAAGTCAATGTAGAAAGAAATAAGTTCCGTAGGGCAGGAGCAAGCAGAAACAATAGGTCTGCCCACCAATCCTGTTTATGGAAATTGAGAAGAAGTTGGAAGTGGGCTGTATAGGGTTGGGCAACTGTGAGCCCAGGGGCTATGATGGGCAGAGGCTCCGATGAGATGAGATTAGTGACCGTTGTGGACTCAATGTTTCAACAGTGGGGCCATAGTCCAGAGGAGACAGGAGGAGGTGTCTGAGAGCTGGCGCTCAGCATCGCAATGTAGAGGTTAGTACGCCAGACTACAACAGTACAACCGGTGTTGGCAGGCTTGCTGACCAAGCCAGGGTTGGATCCAAGAACACAGAGTGCAATCAGTTCAGAGGGAGATAAGTTTGAATGGGTGAGATAGGCAGAGAAATTAAGGCAACTAATATCATGTCGACAGTTCTCAATGAATGGGGTGAGGGCACCTAAGGAGCCAGGGAGAGGGGTCCAGGTGAGGGCTGAGTGTTGGAGGTGGGTGAAGGCATCTGTGGCACAGGGAGTGGACTCTTTTTCAAAGAAATAGACACAGAGGTGAAGGCAATGGAAGAAGATTTCAAGATCATGTCATCCCAAAATTCATTGAGGTGGGGACTCAAAGGGATAAACTAAGACCTTTGTTGTGTACAGAATGTTCAGCATCAGAGAGCATAATGTCAGAAGGAATAGTAAATACCCAATAAGAAGTGGCTTTAGGAGAAGGGATGGAATCAGAGGGAAGGGAAAGGGAAGTAATTGTTGAGTTCAGTGTAGACATAACATGGTTGACATGCTCAGGCATGACCATTATAATGAACTGCATGGGATATTGTTACAGAGTAATCATCTCCAATGAGTTAGGTACATCAGCTCAGTAGGCAAATGTATCCCATGAGGAAGGGGTTAGAGTCTCATCAGTTGCTGTGACAAATGTGCTCCAACGGATTTTGTTGTTAAGCTTTACAGGAGCTGATACACGAATATATTGTGGCCCTCATTACGTTCTACTTAAGGACTACCTTGTTCTTGTTTGCAGCTGAGCTTCATGTTGGCACTGATGTACGGTTACTGCAAGACAATGCGTTGAAGAAGCGGATTGTAGTGGCTGCACGAGACAACTGGGCTGTTTACTTTTCTCGGATGTTCCCGGTCAGCGTAAGTACAGCATCAACAATTTTGAGGTTTGCTTTTAGTGTATATGTGTCAGATTTATCCATTTGATATTAAAAATCTAACACTTAGGCATAATGTACAAACTTTACTTTTGTTTTCACATTTTTGGTCACACTTCCCATTATGAAATGTTATGTAAATACTTCCCTTTCAATTTCCCTTTCTGAACTTTTCACTGAGGCTTTGATAAAATAACTGAATTACTTAAAACATTTTCATTTGACAGTTTTTCTTAGCTACTGAGATTTTTAATGCCTGCAGTTACTATTTAAATAAAACATGGAAGTATTTATGTTCATGAAATTTACCAATTGTTTATTATATGTTTTAATACCTCTGGAAAAGTATTTATGTAGTTCAAAGTATTACAAGCTCAATGCCTTGATTTTAAAATTTTCATTCTTGTTTTCACACTCCTTGCTGGCCTTTTCCTGTCTATCTCTGCAATCGGCTCCAGCTCCATAAGCGTCCCAGATGTTCTTGCCCTTCTAATATATCACTTGAGCATCCCTTATTTTAATTGCTTCATTGTTGGTGGCCATGTCTTTCGCTGGAATAGATCCTAATGTCTGGAACAAGCTCTCTACCTTGCTTTCCTACTTTTAGGACACTCCTTAAAATCTAACTCTCTAATTAAGCATTCGGTGGTTTGACATAATATCTCCTTATGTAGCTTATGACAATTTTGTTTTATAAATACCTTGTGAGTGTGCTCCACTTTTCTAGATCATGGCTGATCATCAAATTCCCACCCCATCCCCATACCCCTTAGCATTACTATTAAAGAAAAACCTATCAATCTCTGTCTTGAATTTCCTTAATAATTAAACTTCCCATAGAAACATAAAGGATAGGAGTAGGAGGAGGCAATTTGACTCGTCAAGCCTGTTCCACCATTCAACATGATCATGGCTGATCATCAAGCTCAATACCCTAATTCTGCCCTCCCTCCATATCCCCTGATCCCTTTAGCTGTAAGAACTATATCTTCCTCTTTCTTGAAAACACACAACGTTTTGGCCTCAACCACTTTCTTTGGTGGTGAATTCCACAGGCTCGCCACTCTTGGGTTGAAGAAATTTCTCCTCATCTCAGTCCTAAAAGGTTTGCCCCTTAAACAGTTCTGAACTCCCACCATTGGGAACATTCTTCCTGCATCTAAACAGTCTAGTCCTGTTGGAATTTTATAAGTTTCTGTGAGCTCCTCCATATTCTTCTAAACTTCAGTGAATACAATCCTAATTGATTCAATCTCTCATCGTACATCAGTCCTTCCATCCAAGGAGTCAATTTGGTAAACATTCACTGCATTCCAATTGCAAGAACATCCTTCCTCAGATAAAGAGATTAAAACTAAAAAATATTCCAAGTGAGCTCTGACCAATGCCCTGTATAATTACAGTAAAATATCCTTGTTCCTGTACTTGAATTTTCTTGTTATGAAGGCCAACATATAGTTTGACTTCTTTACTGCCTACTGAAATTATGCACTTACTTTCAGCAACTGGTGCACAAGGACGCCTAGGTCTCGTTGAACATTCCCCCTCCCAACTTACAGGCATTCAAATAAAAATAACCTCACATTTATCCACATTATACTACAACTGGCTTGCATTTGTCCACTAAGTCAGCCTGTCCAAGTCAGAGTGCAACATTTCTGTATCCTCCACACAGTTCACCCTTCTACTCAGCTTTGTGTCATCTGCAACTTTTGAGATATTACATTTGGTTCTCATGTAAATCATTAACATACATTGTCAATAGCTGAGATCCTAGTACTGATCCTTGCGGTACCCCACTGCCATTCAGAAAGAGACTCATTTATTTCTACTGTTTCTTTCCTGCCTGCTAACCAATTTCTATCCATCTCGATGTACTAGCCCCAATCCCTTGCATTTTAATTTTACGCATTAATCTTTTGTGTAGTACTTTGTCAAAATCCTTCTGAAAATCCAAATAACCACATCCACTGGCTCTCCCAATCAAATCTTCAAGTTACATCCTCGACCATTATTTTTCTTTTGTAACTCCATGCTACCACTGTTTCCTAAGTGCTCTGCTATAAAATCCTGGATAATGAATTCTAAGCATCTTCCGTACAACTGACATCAAACTCACTGGTCTATAATTACCTGTTCTCTATCTACCGCCACTTTTAAATAGTTGGGTTGTATTAGCTAGCCTCCAATCTGTAGGAACTCTTCCAGAATCTAAAGGCTTGCTAGGGTGACAAAACGTTTGCAACAAAACCCACCAGCTTGGTAAACGTGTCTACAACCCCATCCACAACCCAAGCTACATATCTTCTTGAAAAGTTTAAAGGGGTTCATCATTTAGGACAGAGATGACAAGAAATTCACAAAAGGTTGTAAATCTTTGGAATTCTGTATTGCACAGAATGCTGTGCATGCTCAATCATTAAATATATTGAAGGATGAGGAATCAAGGGATATGGGAAGCAGGTAACAGCATGGAGTTGAAGCCCAAAATCAGCTACAATCATAACAAGTGGTGGAGCAAGCTTGACACGGCTGAATAGTCTACTCCTACTTTTATTTCTGGTGTTGCTTTCCACCCAAATGTCTGTCCAGGAAATTATGCCAGATCGCTAATGAAGTCTGTCAGATGAACAGAATGCTGTTAAGATGAAGAAAGGTTTGAAGCAGAAAGGTATTGTGCTCATATTGTGACATAATTAGCTCAGTTGGAGACCATACACTTGTGTTTTTAATTCAGGGGGACATTGGCAGCGATGTGCAGATTCTCAGCATCTCTCACCGAGGAATCAAGCTATTAAAGTCGGTGCAAGCGATCGGAATGAAATTAGACCATTTTAAAGTTCTTCAGAGCTATTGGTAAGACATCAGAAAAGATACTTTCATACGTTAGTGTGTCATTGTGTCAATGTATGTCAGTGTGTCTGGATCTGTTACATTTTTAGCTGTGTTAGCAAGCTTTGACAGCATGGCTGTGTCTCATGTTCAGTTGCATACAGCTACATTTGAATGTATCAGCCCTCAGATATCTTTCCGGAATTTAGATTTAGATTTAAGTTTAGATTTATTGTCACATATGTATCAAAAATACAACAAAAAGTGTTTTTTAGTGTTTTATACGCAAAGTCGTCACGCTCCATTGCCGTCTCATAACACTGAATATAATGCAAGATTTTACTGTAAACAGAGTTCATTTTTCTCTCTTCTTCTTGTTCCTCCTCTGCTGCTACTCCAGTCGCTGCTTGACATCAGCTGGAGTCTGTGAAACAGGCTCCTGGGTCTCTGTTAGGAATCTGGGGCCTCACTTACAGGCCTCCGCCGCTGCTACAATCACAACTGCCTTGTCCAAGCTGGTAATCAGTTCCTTGGTTACCACACCTACAATTATAGAATAAAACAACATAGGAAGGTGCCATTCGGCCAATTGGTTTGACGTCAGTGGTAGGGAAATTTTTAGAAAAAATGCTGAAGGGCCGGATTAATCAGGAAAAAATGCTGAAGGGCAGGATTAATCAATACTTGGAAAGGCAGGATTGAACAAGGATACTCAGCACGAATTTGTTAGAGCAAGATCCTGTCTGACTAATTCAATTGAATGTTTTGAAAAGGTGACTAAATATATTTTAGAGGGTGGTGCTGTTGATGTTGTTTACATAGACTACAGTAAGGCCTTTGGCAAGGTCTCACATTGAAGGCTGGTCCAAAAGGTAAGAGCCCATAAGCCAAAGGAAGTTGGCAAACTAGATCCCAAATCAGTTTTCACATAAGAGGCAAAGGGTGATGATGGAGGGTTTTTATGATTGATTTGAAGCTTGTGACCAGCAGTGTACCACAGGGATCGGTGCTGGGATCCTTGCTGTTTGTTATGTTTGTTAACAACTTGGATGTGAATGTAGAAGATATAATTAGTAAGTTTGCAGTGGACATGAAAATTGGTGATGGTGTTGATAGTGAGGAGGATGATCTCAAGCTACAATCTGATATTGATCAGCTGGTAAATCGGGCATAACAATGGCAGATGGAAATTAATCCTGATAAGAGTGAAGAGATACATTTTGGGAAGTCTAATAAGGGAAGGATATACACAATGAATAGTAGGTCCCTAGGGATAACTGAGGAACAAAAGGACCTTAGTGTACAAGTCCATACCTAAATCAGATTTCCCCTCAGCCTCCACTGCTCCAAGGAAAACAAGCCCAGCCTATCCAATCTCTCCTCACAACTAAGATTTTTCATCTCAGGCAATATCCTGGTGAATCTCCTCTGCACCCCCTCCAGTACACTCACACCCTTCTCATAGTGTGGAAATCAGAACTGCACACAGTAGTCCCTGAACATGCCAGCACAGATAGATAGGGTGGTGAAGAAGGCATATGGGATGCTTTCCTTCATTAGTCAGGGCTTCAATATAGGATCAAGGAAGTCTTGTTACAACTTTATAAATTATTGGTTAGACCACAGCTGGACTACTGTGTGCAGTTCTGATTTCCACACTATGAGAAGGGTGTGAGTGTACTGGAGGGGGTGCAGAGGAGATTCTTAGTTGTGAGGAGAGATTGGATAGGCTGGGCTTGTTTTCCTTGGAGCAGTGGAGGCTGAGGGGAAATCTGATTTAGGTATGCAAAATTATTATCAGGCACAGAGTAGATCATGAAAATCTTATTCCCATGGCAGATGTGTCTAAGACAAGAGGGCATAAGTTTAAGGTGGGGAGTAAGTGGTTTAGAGGAAATCTGAGAATTTTTTTTTCATCCTGAAGCTGGTAGGAATATGTAATGCCCTGCCTGAGAGGATGGCATAATAAGCTATGGACCAAGTGGAGGTAAATTGGATTAGTGTAATTTGTCATTTGTTGGTTGGTATTGACATGATGGGCTGAAGGGCCTGTTTCTGTGCTGTGCTCTGACTGGCACTTAACCCAATCCCTTCAGTCTTTTTCCTTGCCTTACCATGTTTTGTTCTGTTGAACTATTTATCCAGTTCTTTTTAGAAAGTTATTGTTGAGCAGGATTTTGGTTTTGGGGTTGGAACCAAACGCCAGGACTATTCCAAGTGCACTCTTTGTGCCCAGTTGGAATTTTTTTTAAAAATTCATTCACAGGATGAGGGTGTCACTGACTAGGCCAGCATTTATTGCCCATCCCTAATTGCCCAGAGGGCAGTTAAGAGTCAACCATATTGCTGTGGGTCTGGAATCACATGTAGGCCAGACCGGGTAAGGATGGCAGTTTCTTTCCCTAAAGGACATTAGTGAACTAGATGGGTGTTTCCGACAATTGGCAATGGATTCACGGTCATCATCATCTTAATTCCAGATATTTTATTGTATTCAAATTCCACCATCTGCCATAGCAGGAATTGGACCCATGTCCCCAGAATGTCATCTGGATTAACAGTCTAGTAATAATACCACTAGGTCATTGATTCCCCACTGAAAAAAGTTTGTGAAAGAAGTTTCACAGGAATGGCAAATGAAGGGCCAGAGGGCGTGCTCATGATACAATTAGGGACAAGGGGGTGGGCTCCCAATGCTGGAGTGCCAAAGGAAGTCCTCAAGCATTAAGAGACTGGCAGCTTGTTGACACAGCTCAGGAAGAGATGAAGCCATCGTCTCAGCACTAATTTATAATATGACTGCTGTTGCAGGGGGAGACAGTTTAAGTGTTTCTGAAGCTGGCCTTCAGTCTGCCACTAGGAGGCCACTTCCTCTCACTGGCCATGTTTCAGGATCTGCCTGTCAACCGGAAGATTACAGCTGGTATGGGAAGAGAGGCCTAAATGTCCTTTAATTGCCTATATTGTCTGCCTGAAGCTTGCATCCCTGACCTGCCCTGTTAGAAATGGTTTAGTGCCAGGACAGTACTGCCACATCCATGGGAAATCCGCCCAGCTCCAGTCCTGAAAATTCCTCCCAGTGAATTGCCTTCTACTTCCCTTTCAAGCAATGCATTACAGATCATAACAATTAAGCTGCTGCATATCTTTTCCTTCTTGTTCAGATTCTTTTGCCAGTTGTCATTAAATACCTTTCATAGGAACACAGGACTCAAGCGCAGAACTGGGCTATTTGACCCTCTGAGCCTGCTCCATTGTTGAATAAGACTATGGTCAATCTGGTTGTGGACTCGATTCTACTTTCCCATCTGTCAAATCCCCAAACCCCATATGCCTTGTCCTATGGACCCCAATGGAATCAGTTTCTCCTCATTCACATTATCTTCCTATTTATAAAACATTTGGTAATTTTGAAGTCCTTAATCAGATCCTTCTCTATTCCAATTGGAACAATCCCAGTTTCTTTAGTGTCTCCACATTATTGAATTTTGGTGTTCCAAATACCGTCCAGTAAATCTCCTCCACGTACTCCTCTCCGAATTCTTGACATTCCATTTAAGGTGAGGGACCGAGGCCTGGCCACAATACCCCAGCTAGGGACTAACTTAAATATTCAACACAACTTTCCTGCATTAATTATGTGAATGCAAACGGATATAAAGATAGCACCATGATTGTGACATGCTAAGCCTCACATTAGCCTCTAGTGGATTCATAATTGCAATGTGTTTGCATTTCATAAATACTCATTATCATAAAAGACTTTTTTAATTACAACCCACTCCCAGACAAACCCAGTGGCCCTAGGTTCATGTTTATTTGGAAATATTGCACTTTTTGGGCTTTCAGTAGTTGTGTCTGAGGTCACTGATTTCACTTTTCAAACTCTGTAACACAAGGAAGGGAGCAAGTGAACACAGTAGCTTTATAGGGGACCATCAGAGGAGACTGAGGAATGAAAACCAAAAGAACTGCGGATGCTTTAAATCAAGAACAAAAACAGAAGTTGCTGGAAAAGTTCAGCAGGTCTGGCAGCATCTGTGAAGAAAAAACTCAAAGTTCACGTTTTGGGTTCAGTGACCCTTCCTCAGATGCTGCCAGACCTGCTGAGCTTTTCCATCAACTTCTGTTTTTGATACTTAGTAATGAGTTGGGTTGTGCAGTGAGTTTGATGGTGAGGAGACAGAATCAAAGGCAGGATAAAGGGTGGGGTCAGAAACATGAAGGAGTGAAATGGGAAAAGCCTGGCATCCAGGGTGCCTTTTTTGAATGGGGCTTGTAACCATAATAGTATTCCAACCCTCTGGCACCACCACCAGATCAAAGGATGATTGAAAAGTGATGCAATTTCATCTTTACTTCCATCAGCAACCCAGGGTGCATCCCATCCAGACAGGTTGCATTTTTGTAACTTTGAGCATGTCCTGACAACCTTTAAGTAGCTCCTCTCTATTCAGTTTCACTGTTGTCTCCTCTGTAACTTGGTCACAGAATTGTCAAAAATGTACAACACAGAAAGAGACCATTGACCCATTACGTCTGTGCCATTTGGGGACCATGGAGAAAGGTTCAGCAGATAGAAACCAGTTCAGGCTGAGTAAAATACCTGTGCAGATAAAGGAAACCCGTTTACCTCTCCCTTTGTTACAGCTATGCAGAAATACTGAATGTGACATTAAAGGAACAAACCATGCTGGAATTTTCTCTGAAGAATGAGCAGCTGGTCCTGTATTCAGAAAAAGCCAAGCAGGCAAAGATACTCATCACTTTATTCCTGGAGGAGTTACGGAAGGTACTACATAAGATCTGAAAAATGCAACAGTGATGGAAAAGGAGCAGACATTAAACTATGGCAGACCAGCAGAAAGTAGCAATTCAAACCAACAGGCAATTGTGGTATTGGAAAAAATCCATACTTGTTACTGTACCATATTAATGACAAAGGAACTGGTGTAATGGTGTATAGGTATAGCATCAATATTTCTCATCGTAGCAATACTAATTCAGTATTGAGTATAGTTATTAATACAAGTGCTTCCCCTATATTTATTGCAGTTACGAGTCAATTTTCTGCCTCAACATTGGATGGAATTACTAATATGAAGAACTACATTGAACATACAGTATGCCCAGTGTTTATGGACTCCAAATGAGTTTCCTCCCACCTCTCATTTACGCCAATTAGCATAAACATTGCCATTTGTGTTTGTATAGCTTTCCTTTCAATGCGTCTATAATATTTATCTCAACTACTCCATGTGATCAAAAATTCCAGAATCTAACTGATGCTTCTGGGTGAAGAAGTTCCTCCTGAATTTCTAGTGGATTTATGAGTGACTGTCATATGTTTATGATCTCTAGTTTTGAGTAGTGTGGAAGTAGTAGTTTCCACAGGTGGAAACCTCTTCTCTATCTCTATTCTATCAAATGCTGCTTAAGGATTCTGTTACCCCTCAGTTTTCTCTTTCCATTCCTTCCTGAAATATAAGTTTTCTTCTGATATTATTCTAGTGATTTTTTTTCACCTATCTTAGTGTCTCTATATCATTTATAATAAAGTTTAAGCCTAATTTCTCTGCTTTTCAATTCTATCCCTCAAGAAGTGATTGCAGCACTTTGTTTTCTTTCTCATGGCCTGATCGATATGTATTGTTACTTTTAGTGAACTGTGCATTTGTATTCTTTGGATTCTATTTTGGATTCAGTCTTCTACTGCTCCTCAACCCTACAGAAACTGCCTGGTGCTCCTGTAGGTGGATGCGGGGAGATGGGGTGGTGGGGGGGAGGTGTCCCAGTGCTGGCATGGTTAATGGTTCATGTACTGCCCAGTTACTGATACAAGGATTGTCTCCAATTTGCTGAGGTCGATAGTACAGTCTCATTCGTTGTTCCAGTACAGATCAGGAACAAATTTGGTTCCTCTTGACTGCATACCTCTGCTGCACAGCTACTTTATCAGGTGCTATAGTACTTACATGTTCACTTAGTAGCTGAAATCATGTTATCTTCTGAGATTTGGTTCATATTGTATATGTATCTTACAGGACTCTGACTACGTTATGGCTATTAAGAGCTATATTACAGATGATAAATGTTTGCTGAACTTTCGCAAAGGAGACATCATCAAGCTGCTGCCAATAGATGGACTTCAACCAGGTGAGTCACAAGGGGCAATCACAAACTCATCAATCGCTAACATTCGACCACACTCTCAGGAGTGGTTGTTGATGCAGCAGGGTCAAATTAACATTTGACCTGACTGGACTCAGAGAGCCAAAGGGGATGGTCAGACATCCATGCAGAGTGGACAGTGCAATATTGTTTCAATTATTTAATGTTGGCAGTCCAGAAATTGATTTTGTTGATTTTTTTTCTTAAACTCAGATTGGAGGCTAGCAGAAAGGTCCAGATGTCCAGTGGTACAGAGTCCCTACTATCTCTAGGAGCTATCAAAATGCACACAAAAGAATAAAATCTCTCTATCTCTGAGAAAGAAAATTACATTGGGGTAGTACTAGCACTTATTATGATAACTTTAAACAAAACTCTAATGAGACCTCATTAGGAGTATTGTGCTCACAAGAGAAAGGTTAGGGTTAGGATTGCAATACTGATTTCATTGGCATTCTGCCTGATACAAGCCAATAGAAATATGAAGCAAGACTTGATAAATGAGGCCTTTTCTGATTGGAACAGTGTACATTAGTGTAATGGAGATTTTAAAGTCCTAAAAGGCTGAGATAGTAGAGTCTAGAATGAGGAGCCATAGTGTCACACCTCACTGGAAATCAAGTCCCCTTATTCTGAAAGTCATCACAAAAATTAACAAGTTTTCAATGTATGCAAAGCCCCAATTTACCTGCAACTAACAGAAAACATCAGCCATGTTTCTGCACTTAACAATAACTGCTGTTTATTACAAATAAATAGATTATAGCCACAGGTAAACAGCTGTGAACTGTTGATATTTAACTCTATTAATTAGAACTCTGAACTCTAACCCCCTTCTAAAACTCTGCTATGTACACATACACATAGACAGACACTGAAAGACAATCAGACGTTGGTGTTATGAGTGGAGGAAGAAATAAACTGGGGAAGCAGTTCAGAGGCCCCAATCACTGAGAAGAAACTTTTGTTTGCCAGGATTTTCTGTTCTTCAAACATTTTTCTCCAGCTTCTTTTCACTTCCTTGCAGGAGACATAGGCAGTTGGTACATTAAATGCAAAATCTCTTAGTTTACAGGTCAAAAGCCGCAGCTTATCGCTGTGAGGGAAAATAAACTGGCTTTCTTCAGGCTGTAGGGATTTTACTGGAGAGGAAAACACACTATCTGCCCTTGTAGCAGTCCAAAGGCTTTTGTCAGAATCATGTAAACCCACATGTTACCCAGTTACTATGCAGCCAATCACAGAGTTGCTGTTAGGCTGATAGTCATTCACAACTGATCATAACTCCACAAACTAATCAGCAATGTTCACACCCCTTGGCATCAGTCTGTCTACAAACTGCCTTCCCACACAGCTTGAACAAAGCAGCAGTGTAAACATGACTTACAATGAGTGTCAGTAATGTGCCTTTTAGAAGTGCAACAATTCCTTCCACAGTCCTTGGTTTTAAAACAATCCCTTTTCTAGTTCAGTTCACAATCAAAAATAAAGTAATATAAAAAGATATGGTCCTTACAATTGGAATAAGATTAAATGCAAGAACAAAGGGCAGGAAAAATGGTCTCACAGAGTCGTTTAGCAGAGGCAGTCTCTTCCACGGTCAATGATGAAGGTAGAAATAACTTTAGCACGATAAAAATATAAACAATCACCTCAAATATCAAAGGTCATACAAGAGAAACAGAGATGTAAAGTGTGATAGAGAGTAAGGTTGAGAGTTATGGATCTATCTACATTACTGAACCTTGCGCCCTTCCTTCCAAGGTTGGCAGTTTGGGTCTATCGGTGGACGCTCTGGCTTGTTTCCTGGAGACCATGCTCAGCCAACAGCTGCTCCTGATTACTATAGCAGTTACACGGGGAAGAATGAGGAGAGGCAAAAGAGCACACCCAGTTCTAATCGATCATCCATGAGAAAGGTAAGAAGACCAGTATCCAGATTAGCACAGAGTCATGTAGACAGGAAGTGTTGAATACCTGTTCTGGTGATTTCAGCTACTGTCGTGGGTAAATCACCATAAGTTGCCTTTAATTCAGCTAATTATTAAGAGGCCTCACAGACAAATAAATTGTGAAGCAACGATTTAAACTTTATTACATGTAGCGACCAAATAAGACCCCTCAAGTAAACAAGTTAAGCCTCACAACTCAACTTGGCTATTACCCAATTAATGGTGGAACTTGGCTATGGTTCCACCAACAGTGTCTGTCTCTAGATGTGTCCAGGGTTCGATCATTATGCAAAGTTCTTCTCCAGACTTCTGCTAAAGCGGGAGCTCTGGCTTCTGACTCTTAGAGAGATTCTTGTCCTTCAGGTCCAGAATGTGATATTATTGATGATTCTTTAAATTCTTTCATCCAAATTATTGCAAGTCCGCAGCTTGCCTTCTTAGAATAATAGTCATAGAAATGTACAGCATGGAAACAGACCCTTTGGTCCAACTCGTCCGTGCCAACCAGATATCCTAAATTAATCTAGTCCCATTTGCCAGCATTTGGCCCATTATGCTCTAAACCCTTCCTATGCATATACCTATCCAGATGCCTTTTAAATGTTGTAATTGTACCAGCTGCCACCACTTCCTCTGGCAGCTTATTCCATACATGCACCACTCTCTGTGTGAAAAAGCTGCCCCTTAAGTCCCTTTTAAATCTCTCCTCTCTCACCTTAAACCTATGCCCTCTAGTTTTGGATTCCCCCATCCCAGGGAAAAGACCTTGTCTGTTTACCCTATGCATGCCCTTCATGATTTTATAAACCTCTATAAAGTCAACTCTCAGCCTCTGACACTCCAAGGAAAATAGCCCCAGCCTATCTAGCCTCTCCCTATGTCTCAAACCCTCCAACCCTGGCAACAACCTTGTAATCTTTTCTGAACCCTTTCAAGTTTTACAATATCCTTCCTATAGCAGGGAGACCAGATTGCACGCAGTATTCCAAAGTGGACTAACCAATGTCCTGCATAGCTGCAACATGACCTCCCAACTCCTATACTCAATGCACTGACCAATAAAGGCAAGCATACCAAAAGCCTTATCAGAAGTAGCTTCTTTGTTACATTTGGTGTTAGCTGTCTGTTTGAAGATAGAGCTTTCCTGTGATTAACTTCTTGTCAGCCAAGTGAACTTTCTCTGAATTATTGCAATTGTATCTTTTCTGATGTATCTCTAGAATGCATTACCCTGGGAAATTGTCCCTAGTATTCTTGATAAAATCCTTTTCCAGGTTACCTTTGCCAATTTATTCATCCAATCCAAATGAAATCACCCACAGTTAATTCCTTCCTTTTTACCTTTCTTTCAAGCCCCCGTTATTTCTTTGTATACACTTTTCCCTATGGTGTAACTGTTGTTAAGGTGGACCTATCAACTATTCTCCCAAGTGGTGTTTTCCCTTGCTTTTTTCCCCCAAATTAATTCTACATCTTGCTTTTCTGAACAAGAATTTTTCCCACGACTGCATTATTCACAACCCTTAATAACTGAGCTATCCTGGCCCCCATGCCTCTCTTCCAGTTCTTCCCAAATCTGTGTTTTGCACCCAACCTTGGTCAACTTGCAACCACATCCCTGCAATGATCCTATTAATATCTGTCTGTAGCTCCCTTATATCCTCTAACCTGAATTGTTACCCTGTTCAATTACGTTGTCCTTTCTATTTAATTTACTAAATCTCTCTCCCTCTTCCCCATGTTATTGAGTTTTATGACCTCTTTGGATTCCCATTTTTATTGCTGTCCAATGATCCATCCTGACACATACATAGCTGAGAGAGGATATGAATAAGCTTAGCTGTGGTACCATTCTTTATTTGTTGTTGGATGACCCACTCAGATTCAAAGTACATGAAGAATGAGCAGTTGGGTACATTCTACCAAGTGCTTATGGAATAGCCTCAGACAGTCAGAAATGCCAGGTAATGTAGACACAACCGTGTACTTTTTTGTAATACAATTATAACTTTAGTTTTGTTCACACTGTTTTGCATAGCATATCTGCACTTGTCTTTTGGTATACTAATGGAATGTGTGCTCTGCTTGTTTTTTAGAGTGCTGTGCCCAGTGAAGTTTCAGAAAACATGACCATCTCCTCACGTTCTGAATCCAGCAACCCTCTACCAAACATTCATTCTTCACCTGACTTTGTTCAGTATATAATGGCAGAATTTGCCATGAAGTACTTCAGAAATTCTCCGGCCATGTGAGTAATATAATTGGATAAATTAAGCAAGTCTGTTTAATATCATAACTGGAAGACTTTAAAACAAAGTTCAACAATCGTTAAACATGCCCCAGACACATCAGAGATAGAGAGACCGAGAGGAAGTCAAAAGTATACAATATCATCCAGTTTTACAACTGAGGTATAAATAAATTGACAATGTGAATGTGCTTCTCATTTTCTTTTGGAGCATCTTTGTGTAAAATAGTGTGCCGTGCAATATACCTTGTTAAATATCAATTAAGTATTCCCATTTGCAGTATATGTATAATTGAAAACAAAAGCTGGCAATGGTACAGCAGAGGGGAGATTGCAGACTACTAAAAGATTACATTATTTACACTTTTATGGATAAGAATTAATTTTATGTGTGGTGATATAATGGGTGTACCATCCAATGCCACATAAAAAGATGTCTGCTGCAAGACAGGAGACTCAGAAAGTCAGAGTATACAGGAAAGGACTGAGAGTTTTTGTGGCAAAGTGATAATATCTCTACCTCTGAGCTAGAAGGTCAGGTTCACGTCACACCTGCTCCAGAGGTGTGTAATAACATCTCTAACAAGACTGGTTAGAAAATATCTTTCGGACAGGAATGTAAAACAGGAGAAGGATATTCAGCCAGCTGAGGCTGTTACACTATCCAATTAAAGATAAGTCACCATAGTCCCAGAGGATCAGAAGACAACTGTCTCATTAGTGAGAGATGCCCGGTAGTGGTTTAATCTGAGTGTCCCCACACCTCAGGCGAGGGAAGAGGTTGAGCAGTCAGGATCTTCATGGTGACCTTGGCCGGTACAGGAATTGAATCCATGCTGTTAGCATCACTCTGCATCACAAACCAGCTGTCCAGCCAATCATCCGATCAGATCACCACTAAGCATCTACCTCAATAACACTTACCCACGCGATCTCTGTATCTCTTGACATCCTTAGTCTGTAGAAAGTAATCAATTTGTTTCAAGCATACTCAATGGCAGCATTTCCACAGACCTCTGGGAGAGGGGGAGAGAATTCCAAAGATTCACCACCCTCTGAGCGATGATATTCCTTCTTACCTCAGTCTTAAGTGGCCTACTGTGTATTCTGAGACTAAGTCTCCAGGTTCTAGTGTCACCAGTCAGGGGAAACATCTATTTCTATCAATCCTGTTGTGCCCCGTACATGTTTAGTACATTTCAATTCGATCACTTGTCATTCTTCAGAACTCTAGAGAACACAGGTCCAGTTTCCTCAATCTTTCCTCATAAGACAATCCCACCATCTGAGGGATCAGTCCAGTGAATCTCCATTGCATTCCTTCTACTGCAAGTAAATGTTCTTTAGATATATAAACAAAAAAATGTACTCTGGTCAATAGTTATTGTGTCTCACAGAAGATAAATGTCTGAGGAGACTTTAGCTCAATGAAGAAGCCATCATTGGCCCATACCATCTGATCAGGACAACATCCGCAGTTCACCGTTGTAAAATATGAACAATAGCAGGTAAAATCACCCTGCTTCTCACCATCAGAGCTAAAGGAGCTTTCAGCCACTCACAAGGGATAGCTCTGATGTTAGCATTTGCTAACTGGCTGTAATCTGGCTTTAGAGGCTTCATATTGTCTTGGGGGATTTCTTGATATTTCTTTAGATATAGCATCAAATACTGACAAAACACTGTTAATTGATCTTTATGGATAGTTATTGGATGAGGTCCCTGAAAATGGTGCATAATCTGATTTCTGTTCTCTAGTTTGTTGAAGTGGGCATCTCTCCTGCCTTAGCTCTTCCAGTAGCCTAACCTCATACAAATTTGAATAGCTCATTAACGGCAGTAGAAGTGTGCTTATTGTAGGATTTCAGCAGTGCCTGGCAATAAGTATTGACATTAGTGCAGAAATTTGCTCTGCCACAGCATTGCTTAGGGAGCATATGATTGAACAAGTCAGGATGATACACACCCACCCACACCCCTCCCTGCCAACTTCCCAGCTCCTTTATTTCTGCCCACCCACAATACTCCTCTCTCCAACATGTGTTGCAAGGTAATAAATATCCGATGAACACTTTGATATGAGTACCCCTGGAAGATTACTGCTTGAGGTCTGAATCCCAAAGCCACATACAGGATCATTCCGGTTAGCAATGCTGCCTCACAGCACCAGGGACCCAGATTTGATTCCACCCTTGGGTGACTGTCTGTGTGGAGTTTGCACATTCTCCCCATGTCTGCTTGGGTTTCCTCCGGGTGCTCCGGCTTCCTCCCATAGTCCAAAGATGTGCAGGTTAGGTACTAAATTATCCATAATTTCTAGGGTGGGAAATGCAGAAATAGGGTAGGGGGTGGGTTTAGGTGGGATGCTCTTCAGAGAGTTGGTGTGGACTCGATGGGCCAAATGGCCTGCTTCCACGCTATAAGGATTCTATGATTCAGCTCAGTACTAGCAATCAAAATTGCTTCTTCTGAACTCCATGCTCTTTCTACATTCCCACCATCTACAGTGGAATAAACATTGGCATCTCAGATTGCTAAAATGGGTTTCCCAAATCAGAGTTTAGATCTGTTGCTGCAGATGTCAGACTTGATGTTTAACAGTGAACAGCTGTGTGTGTGAGTCAGTGAGAATGTTGTGTCGTTTGTTCTGATTCTAGGCTTGGCTGGAAGGACACGAATGCAGAAGGAAGAAATCCCAATTCCCTGGTTCAGCACACTAAGGTAAGAGAAGATAACAATCAGGAGGTGAGAAAGTGAAATGCCTGCACAGTAATTGGAAAGCAAGAATTAACTTCTGTAGACTTGTGAATGATATAGCCATAAGAATGATTTCAAAGATAGAAAATTTATTCAGAGACAAGAGCCCTAGACCAATCCCACAGACCTCTGAGAGAAACCAGGAAGGTTTCAACTTAGAATCCCTACAGGGTGGAAGCAGGCCATTCAGCCCATCAAGACCACACCAATCCTCTGAAGGGCATTTCACCCAGACCCCTACCCTATCCCTGTAATCCTACACTTCCCATTGCTAATCCATCTAGCCTGCACATCCCTGGACACTATGGGCAATTTAGCATGATCAATCCGCCTACACATCTTTGGACTGTGGAAGGAAACCCATGCAATCACAGGGACAATGCGTAAACTCCACACAGGCAGTCACCTGAGGCTGGAGTTGTGAGGCATCAATGCTAACCACTGAGCTACCATGTTGCCCATAACTTGGTAGTTATGTTTTAAAACGGACAGTAATACGACACAGGCAACTAATGGTTTAATGATCATTACTGGTTTAAAAACAAAGTGTAACACTTCAAAAGGGAAAATGTTAAAGGTATCTGTATAGCAACAATTTAGAAAATATCGCTATAGACAAAGGGGATGCTATGTAAGATAAAGTTGCACAGTATTACAGGTAATGTATTGGCATGGATAGAGGATTGGTTGACTAGTAGTGTTTTTCTGGTTGGCAGTCAGTGGCTAGTGGTGTGCCTCAGGGATCAGTGTTGGGACCACAATTGTTTACAATTTACATAGATGATTTGGAGTTGGGGACTAAGTGTGGTGCGTCAAAATTTGCAGATGACACTAAGATGAGCGGTAGAGCAAAGTGTGCAGAAGACACTGAAAGTCTGCAGAGGGATATAGATAGTCAAAGTGAGTGGGCAAAGGTCTGGCAGATGGAGTACAATGTTGATAAGTGTGAGGTCATCCATTTTGGTAGGAATAACAGCAAAATGGACTATGTTTTAAATGGTAAAAAATTGCAGCACACTGCTGTGCAGAGGGACTTGGGTGTCCTTGTGCATGAATCGCTAAAAGTAGGATTGCAGGTGCAGCAGGTAATTAAAAAGGCAAATGGAATTTTGTCTGTCATTGCTAGAGGGATGGAGTTTAAAAACAGGGAGGCTATGCTGCAGCTGTATAGGGTCCTGGTGAGGCCACATCTGGAGTACTGTGTGCAGTTTTGGTCTCCTTACTTGAGAAGAGATATACTAGCACTGGAGGGGGTACAGAGGAGATTCACTCGGTTGATTCCAGAGTTGAAAGGGTTGGATTATGAGGAGAGACTGAGTAGACTGGGATTATACTCATTGGAATTCAGAAGAATGAGGGGAGATCTTATAGAAACATATAAGATTATGAAGGGAATAGATAAGGTGGAGGCAGGGACATTGTTTCCACTAGCAGGTGAAACTAGGACTAGAGGGCATAGCCTCAAAATAAAGGGAATCAGATGTAGGACTGAGGTCAGGAGGAACTTCTTCACCCAAAGGGTTGTGAATCTGTGGAATTCCCTGTCCAGTGAAGCGGTTGAAGCTACCCTCGCTGCATGTTTTTAAGGCAAGGCTAGATAAATTTTTGAACAGTAAAGGAATTAAGGGTTATGGTGAGTGGGCGGGTAAGTGGAGCTGAGTCTCAAAAAGATCAGCCATGATCTTATTAAATGGCGGGGCAGGCTCGAGGGGCCGGATGGCCTACTCCTGCTCCTAGTTCTTATGTTCTAACATGTTCTTATGGTCCTGCCTGACTTATGTCCTTGCTTTTTTTGAGAATGTTACTAATACATTGGGTCATGGGGTTGCCCATGACATTATGTATTTGGACTTTCAGAAAGTTTTTGCCAAAGTTAAAATTATGTATTTTAATTAAATTGGGAAGATTTCTTGCTTTAGCAAAATCATTGGCGGAAATGTTAAAAATACATTTATCACTGCATTAAAAACAGGAGAAAATATCTCATTCAAAACTCACAGGAATCTACGGTACATCTTTGGAATGGATTAGTTAAAAAGTAAGAAACAGCTAAAGATTAAAAAAAGATTTGGATTAGTTATGCATTGAGGCAGACAAATGACAATTGAATAAAGCATTCCACATTGGTTAAATATGCTCTATAAGAAATCAGAAAATGAACTGAATTAACACAGAAAGCTTGAGGAAATGGCTTTAGCAGCTTTGTGCCTCATTCTGGATACAATTCCTGTTACAGATTCCCATTCACGAGTCACTTATTGATCTACCTGATAAACAACTAAGTGAGCTTGCTGCAAAGAATTTCATGGGTGAGTTTCGCAGGCTGACTGTGGGATAGTTCTACCTGTTTTGTACCATTTCTAGGGGTTTTGTGATATCTGTGTTTGGATTATCATCAGCATTGTTTGTCATTAGCGACAGATTTGGGGATTAATAATGGGATTTGCAATTCATGATAAAAGTTTTCCATTAATAAAAACTAGTTTTTACATTGCAGTAGACATGTTTAGGATTAATAAAAATAAGGTTTGATAGAAATAAAGTGTTGGAGAAACTCAGCAGGTCTGGCAGAATCTGTGGAGAGAGAAATGATTTTGAGGATAACAGCAAACAAATTTGGAACTAATGTCACAGTTGGGAATTAATGACATCTGAATTGTCAAATAGTTAACTCCATTTTGTTGCTGCTTTTACAAAGCAGACATGAGTTTCGCTTTGATTTTCACAATGTAAACAAAACACGAAGAGGAGCTTTGTTGAAGAACCTCATTGCGCAAAGTGCTTTGGGAGTTTTCTACAACATTACTAACCATGTGGCAGTCCTTTTCTCTTTTTAATTCCTATTTTTCTGCAGCTCTGATGAGGTTCATGGGAGACGGACCCCCTCAGGAGCAACAGTCTGACACAGATATTTTACAGAGCATTCTGCAGGTAAGTCTTTATTAGAACATTTTTTTTAGGAACTTCCAATTTAGGAATGCTTGAGTGGCCAGAATTGCAGCAGCAGGAGGAGTTAGGAAGCTTCAAGCCACGAGAGATTTATAAACAAGAATGAAAGTTTTAACATTGAGGTCAAATGACTATTCTTCAAGTACAAGATTTGAGCGAGGGTTCACAAAGTAAAAGGTTCTTGTGGCATAGCAGTAGTGTTCCTATCCCTGGGCCTGAAGGTTGGGGTTCACATCTTATCTGCCCAGATGTGTGTAATAACATGTCCCCCTCCTTGTTGATAACTTATGGTTGCTTTAGTGCTGTGTAAGGTTAGTGAGCATAGAGGTGATGAGTGAATGGAGCTTGGCCTCAAGGTACAGCCAGCAGCACTTTTGTTGACCTTGTGTTTAGGGAGGGTAATAAGAACATAAAGACTACGAACAGAAGTCAGCAATTCAACCCCTTGAACCTGTCCCGCTATTTAATATGATCATGGCTGATCTCATCTTGACTTCAATCCACTTTCCTGTCCACTGTCCACAACCCTTCAGCCCATTATTAATGAAAAATCTGTCTATTTCATCCTTAAATTTAGTCAATGGGCCAGCATCCATTACTCCATTCCAAAAATCCGTGACCCTTTGAGAGAAGTACTTTCTCTTCATCTCGAGTTTTACATCTGCTACCCTTATCCTAAATCCTCTCATTCTAGATTGCCCCACATCAGGAAATGTCCTCTCTATGTCTGTTTTGCCAGTCCACTTTTGCATCTTATAAACCTCAATTAGATATCCAGTCATTCTTCTAAATTCTAGAGAATATGGGCCTAAACTGCTCAATCTCTCTTCATAAGACTAAGCCCTCACCTCTGGAATGAAGCTATTGAATATCCTCTGAACTGCCTCCAATCTAATTATATTGCCCCTCAAGTAAGGGGATCAAAATTATAAACAGTACTCAAGATGCAGTCTCAATAATGCCTTGTACAGTTGCAGAAACACTTCCCTACTTTTTTACTTTAATTATTTTTCAATAAATGACAAAATTCCATTTGTCTTATTATCTGATGTACCTGTCTCAGTACCTGATGTACCTACATACTAGTTTCTTGATTCATGCACGAGAACGCCTAGATCCTCCTGCACTGAAGCAGTCTGTAGTTTTTCTCTATTTGGATAATAAGTTGCCTTCCTATTCTTCTAGCCAAAATGGATAACCTCACACTTATCCATGTTACATTCTATTTGCTAAATTTTTGCCCATTCACCTAACCAAGTTGAACTGAAGGGTCTGTTTCCATACTGTATGACTCTACAATTCTATCTATATCCATTTGCAAATGTCTTATTTCTTTGTTGCAACTTACTTGCCCACCACTTAAGTGTCATCCAAAAATTTAGCTTTAGTACCTTCATTCCTTTCATCCAAGTTGTTAAAAGAAGTTGTCAATAGTTAGAACCTGAGGACTGATCCCAGTGGCACCTCACTAATATATCTTGCCAACCAGAAAAAGATCCCTTTATCCTGACTGTCTGTTTTCTGTTGGTTAGGCAATCCTCTGTCCAATATAATAACTTTCTCCTACCTCCATCTGGTCTTACTTTGTGTATTAACCTTTAGTGTTGCACCTTATCAATTGCCTTCTGGAAGTCCAGATATGCTACATCTACACGATCCCCATTTTCCACTTTGTGTGTTATATCTTCAAAGAACTGTAGCAAATTATTCAAACACTATTTATCCTTCATAAAACCATGCTGACTTTGACAGATTGCATTTATGCTTCCAAATGGCTTGTTATTACCTCCTCATTAATGGATTTTAACAATTTTTCAATGACAGATGTTAAACTGGTCTACTATCCTACTTTCTGCCTCCCTCCCTTTTTTGAATAAGGGCATTAATTAGCATTTATCTAATCCACTGCAACTTTCCCGCATCCAGGGAATTTTGAAATATTATAACCAGTGGATCCAATATCTCTGCTGCTACTTCCTTTAAGACCTTAGGATTTGGGCCGTCTGGCCATAGGGACTCATCTGTCTCCAATCCCAATAGTTTGCTCAAGAACTTTCTCTCTAGTGATGATAATTGTTCTAACTTCCTCCCCTTCTACAACCTCTACATTACCCGTTACTATTAGGATGGTAAAAGTCTCCTCCATCAAGAAAATATGAAGCAAAATATTGATTTAGTGACTCCGCCTTTTCTGTGTTCCCCACTATTAACTCCCCAGTCTTATCCTCTGATGGATCAACTTTTATTTTGGCTACTGTTTTCCCTTTTATATATTTATAGAAGCTTTTGTTATCCATTTCAATATTCTGAGCTAGTTTCTTTAATAATTTACCTTTGCTCTTTTTATTACTTTTTTTAGTAATTGTTTAAGTAATGTCAAGTACGTTTTAAAGTAGGCCAATGATGGCATGCGATTTTTACATTTTGTGGTATGGCATTGAATACCAGCTCCCAGGTTCAATTTCCAGCTGTTGCTGTGTCCACTGATCTCAATTTGTTCCTGCTTTGAGAGTGATAGCCTTGAACTCAGTTTTTCAGGAGATCATGCTCAATAATGTCAGCCAAAAATCAAGTGAGGACAAGATCCCTGTTTTAAGAATCCCCTATCAAAGTTTACACTTGAATGGTCACTTGAACCTGGGGAATATTCGTGTCTGTGAGCAGCATCATTCTCAGGAGGGGAAGAGCAACATAGAAGACAAAGTAAATGTTGTTCCAAGTTACGAAATTTTTGTTCCTTGAAATTGTCCAATACCTTTTGCTAACAGGCACGTTTTTGACATTATGCTTTCACATAGCTGTGCAAGGAGAAGAGGAAGCTACAGGATGAGATCTGCTGTCAGATCATCAAGCAAATCACAGATCATCCCATAAAGTAAGTATCAAGCAATTTTGTATGATCTTATCACTCAAGAATTCAAGGCCTGTTATTTCCCAATTGAGTCTCTGTTTGGCACTTAATTTGTTTAGCCAGCTCAAAAACAACATGAGCTCTTGCCAGTTCTCTAGCCAACAGCTGAGATCCCTGTCATCTCCATTACATTGTGTACGTTGTGTGCATGTGCACATTAGGTGCAGATATGATCAAAACGTTCGGTTAATAGCTTATAGGCCAAAAAAACTTATTAACGTTCATTGATATGTATAATAATAATGTACCATTTGAGCAGGATCCAGAGGCAACATCAGTGTGGTTGATTTTTAACTGTCCTGTGAAAAGATCCAGCAAATCACAGAGGCAACTCACCACCAACTTGGTGAAGGCAGTTAGGGTCTGAAAATAAATGTTGTCCTTTCTAGTGACACCCACATCCTGTGAATTAAAAGGCCTTCCACTGCCTTTGATGATTTACCACAATCAATGGTAAGTGATTTCCAGAAATCAGGAGAGAATATTGGAAAAAATAGAAGATCTGACACATTTCATGTCTTTGCACAGAGAAAACTGTACACGGGGCTGGCGTGTCCTCTACCTGTTCTTGGGCTATTTTCCATGCACAAGCGACCTCATGCCCTTTGTCCAGAGATACCTGGAGAACATCTGCGCTGACTCTAATCATGACTTCCAAGGTACAAAGTATTCGGGTGGAGGTGATGTTGAGCATTTGTTAGTTTAAAAAGTGTGGCAAAGAGGTTGTTTTGTAAAACTAAATCAGAATTTCTTTCACAGAAACAGCCCATTTGGTGAAACTGGTTGTTGTCTGTATTTATATTCCACATGAGACTCCTCCCAATCTAGTTCATCTAATTCCGTTCTCTCCCATATGCTCACCTAGCTTTCCCTTAAATGTACCTGTACTGTTTGTCTAAACTACAGCCAGTTTCACATCTGGCTGCAATATCTCCATGGTAAAGAAGTTCCTCTTAATTTCATCATTGGATTATCAGAAACTATTATATACATAATTGCTTGGTTCTACAGGGCTTCAGTGTTGCTAAAAAAGTGCTGTTAAAATTTATGTTTTGCAATCATTGAGATAGACACGAGGATACCAAGGTTCAAAGGGAGCCACAGTTCATATGGCATGATAAAAGGGTGCTGGTTGTTTGACAAGCCAGCTCTGATTGGTCAAAGCATTGTCATGGGGAATGCATGAAAAGAATTACTGACCTCCATGCTTGTGCCTAATTAAAAGAAAGCACAATGGCTGGTCATGTTCCTTTTTGTTGTTGTGGGCATGTCCCTGAATATGAATAAATGGAGCTTCAAGTGAGCAATATTGTGAGCCTGATTGATATTGACCTGATGACTAGCTGATTGTGTCAAATAGCTTGGCCCTTTGGTGATTTGCAATAGGCAATGTAATGACCAGACTCAACAAGTTTGTCCTTACAAAACTGAGAACACAATATCTAATGTTAGATGTGACTCTATGATTATTCAAGTGTGCATGCTCTAAAATGTACTAAGAACTATGCTGACAACCAATTTAAGATTATTAGTCAGCAAAAAATGTGGCTCACTTACATTTGCAAGAAGCTGTATATACTGGTGGACCTGCTCTCTGCAGGCAAAAGGAACATGTTAGAGAATTGTACATTTTTTGACTCAAACAAAACTCAACCAATCAGAGCTGACTTACCTACTAATCAAAAACCTTTTTTTCATGAAGTATAAATTGATTCCCTTTAAAGTTTGGCACGTTGCATCTGTCCTGATGTGTAAAAGAAAAGCCTTCTCAGCATGTTCCTTTTTCCCAGCATACCTATTATTATATATTTACCCAGTTTTGGCCTGCCCACAACTGAAAACATCATGCCAAATTATAACAAGAGAAAAACATTTCACTCATTGTTGGGAGTGGGGGTAAATTCTGAAAACCAGTTCCCTGACCCAAACCCACCTCCAACCAACCCATTGCCAATTATAACGGACACAGTTGGTCGGTGGCCATTCCAATCCAAGGGGACATGTCGGATTTTAAATGTGATAATAACGCCATTGGTCTCAGTGGCATTTAGGTTTTAAGTTTTAACTTTATTCAACTGACTTCCTATATGTTGTAAAACCTGGAAACTTCAACAAGGCGAGAACCCAAAGGATTTCAGAGGTACACACCTACCTCCTGGTTTCAGAAGCTTTTGCAATCAGCTCTCGTACCCTGCCAAGATCTTCATCCCCCTGAAACTTCTGATCCCTCCAACCCCATCCACTATCTGAGGTCTCCAAACAATACCCTGCACCTCCCCCCACACCTTATTTACCTCTCCCACCACCCAGCTCCCCTCTCAGTTGCCCACCTATCCCCCAACTCCCAAAGCCAATCTCCATCAATCTATCCTGCGAGGACATGACTACTGCTGCAGCTTTGTTGATCAGGCTCCTACCTGGGTGGATGGCCAAATTCCCAACAAGCTAGTGTCTAGTTGGAGAACCCATCAGTGTAATGCTGATGAGTTAAAGCTTCTTATCGCATGGAAAAGTGCCAAATTGAAAGTTCCTTAACATTGGCTGATCAAACTACTCCCTGCAGGTCACATCAGTTAAAACCAATAACTTCATTATGTCGATCCTATTGAACACCTTCACAATTTTGATTTGGTTACCCCTCATCCTTCCCTTTCCTACAGAAAAGCACCCCAGCCTGGTCAGTATTTCCTGAAGATTATAACTGATGGATTACTAAATCTCTTGCACAGTATCATAGAGATAAAGAGAATGGGTAATGGAACAACTTTTTGCAGGTAATTTGTAGAAACACTGCTCAATTGCAAATACTAAACCAAGTCTATTGTTTCTTTTCCCAGCAATAGCAATGGCTTGTCAGGACAACGTGTATCGCACATTGAAATATGGGGGCCGGCAACACATCCCATCCACCCTTGAATTGGAAGCTATCATAGTAAGTTTCATTAGGGAGAGGATGGTGTAGTAGTTATGTCACTGGATGAATGTAGCCCAGGCCAATGCTGTGGGGACATAGACCAAAAGAACTGCAGATGCTGTAAGTCAGAAATGAAAAACAGAAGTTTCTGAAAAGCTCAACAGGTCTGGCAGCATCTATGAAGAGAAATCAGAGTTAACGTTTCAGGTCAAGTGACCCTTCCTCGGAACAATCCACTCAGTTGTATTAATCTATAGAATTTATGGACAGGCTGAACATCAAAGTGAGAAAGATGCTGAACAGATGCAAATTATCAACAAGTCTCTTCATTTTGGACTGATTGCCAGCACTGCAAAGCACATTTAATTTGAATGATGCTCTGTTTATCTGACAGAAAGGACGCAGCTCAAGGAGAGTCATTGTGTACCTACCTGGGAAGTTGGAGCATGCAGCCAAGATCAAGCCCTTTATGGTATGTCTCGATGATTGGACAGGCAAAAATCATTTGACTAATGGCATACATTGGGATGTGCTATTTTTAAACAGGATCTCTTTTACTGATTTGTGATTATTAACTTTTTGATGTTAAACCTTGATTATGTTTTTTGTTTCTGAAATTTACAAGGGATATTGTTGGACACAGTAACTTTCACATAGCACGGTATGATTTGAGTGTTCCAAAATGCTTTCCAAGCTTCAAACATGTAATTTGTAATGTGGAGGTCAGAAAGTCCCCAGAAAGTGACTGTCAGACAATTTAGGTCAGCACTAGATATTCTCTCATAGCATCAGTAGTCTCTTCTGGAAAGCAGGTCTCAGGTCCTTTAAGTTGAAGAACTCATCTTTACTGTTAAATATCAAATTTTATGATAATGCATCCTGGATTTATAACAACATAACTCCTGTTTGACTGTACTGGATACTGTAATTTCAGACCTTCTCCCTGTCTTCCCCAATGCGTACATTCATCCTATCTAGTGAAAAGTGCCTTTCCAACTCCAGGAACTGTGCTTGAATTAGTTTTGTGCAAATCTGAAAGCATAAACAATTGCATTCAGTATCAATACTGACATTAATGGGTGCTTTCCAATGGGAATCCCCTATCAAATATGTCTGAAAGAAGTAGTATTGGGAGAAATACCAAAGAGATCACAGCAGCATGAAGTGGTCACATAGTGGTTGTGTTTTTCCTTAAATAACATCTTTGATTATTTGAGGGTTGCTAAATGATGGTTTATACTGTGATTTTACCATCATAGAACGTGATGAGGCAAGACCTTAGTCAAAACACTGATCAAACCATGTTATTGTTGGCATTCTTCTGAACAGCCCACTAGTTGTTGAGCCAACTGATCTAACCTGCAACTCCACCAGAGGTTCTATTTCTGGGCTAGAAATTCAGAGATTGTCTTGTGGCACTATGAGTAGTATCTCTGTCTCTAAGCCAGAAGATCCAGTTTCAGGTCACACACCAGAACATTATGGCCAAGGATGCAGTGTTCATAATGTGGCCAAACAGAATCAATCCACAAATCCAGACAATGACAGGCAATGCATAGAGTCATACAGCATGGAAACAGACCCTTCAGTCTAACTCGTCCATGCTGACCAGATATCCTAAATTGATCTAGTCCCATTTGCCAGCATTTGGCCCATATCCCTCTAAACCTTCCTATTCATGTCTCCATCCAGATGCCTTTCAGATGTTGTAATTGCACCAGGTTCCACCACCTTCTCTGGCAGCTCGTTCCATACATGCACCACCCTCTGCATGAAAGTTTTGCCCCTCAGGTCCTTTTAAATCTTTCCCCATTCACCTTAAACCTATGCCCTCTAGTTTAGGACTCCCCCACCCCGGGGAAAAGACCTTGGCTATCCACCCTATCCAAATCTTAAAATTCAGTCCAATAGTCATGAACAAAATGATGACTTCACAGTGTTGCAAGCGTTATAGACACTTACAGACATGCCAGCTATTCAACCGTGACAGTTGCACTATACTATATCTTGTAGGAGATGGCACACAACTAGTGGCAGCTGGAATTGTTTGGAGGGAGAGAGGTGTGCCCTTGTAGGCAAAGTTAAGACAGCGCATTAGCTACACCATGCAGCTGCCAAATGGCATTACTGGGCATCAAATCAGCATTGTTTTGATGGATACCATGATCTGCTTGCTTTGTACAGTTCTGCTCAATATTCAGTGCACACACATTAAGGACTTTGCCAAGGTGGCATCAGTCATGCTTCGCATCAGAAATTTATGAATGCTCACTGATTGCTTCTTCGGAACCTTAAAGGGAATCGTTACGCTTACTAAAAGCATTGCCCCCAGTGTTTTCCATGTTAAAATCAACAAATTTTCTCTCTGGTGTTCTGGTATGCAATCCAACGTTTCAATCTCAGATCATAATTGTGATGATGTTTGTATATTGCAACAATATGCTTCTGAGATAGAGTTTAATGCACATTGATGGGACAGTGTGAAGGGAGCTTTCCTTTGTATCTAACCCCATGCTGTACCTGCCCTGGGAGTGTTTGTGGGTGGCTTAGATAGAGTTTACTCTATATTCAACCCTGTGTAGTATCTGTCCTGGGAGGGTTTGATACGGATAGTGAGGAGGTGCTTTATTCTGCATCTAACCCTCTGCTGTACCTACGCTGAGAGTATTTAAACAGTTCATGAATAGGGACCCTTACTCTGTATCAAAGCCATATTGGGGCTGTAACATAATGTTTGATGTTGATACCTATACCCTTTATTGCAATAGCTGGAAAATCCACTTTTCCACTCACAGATTCTCAATTTAAAGCTGTTTAGAAAATTTAGTGATTAAATTTTGCCTTCACAATATTTCCAATTTCAGCTGAATTTCAGAGAAAGTTCTTGGGAGTATACATTGAGCTCTCTTTATATTTATGTGTACTAGCCTTCCCTGTGTGCAGCTTCCAGACATGAAGTGATCAGCTGGCTTTGATGAGAGCCCCAGAACAGAAAATATTCTCAATCTGTTTTGCTTGGTTTAGGTCGGACAGGACATGGTGATGGAAATTTGTGCTAACATTGGAATTGTTGATTCTGAAGAAGTCAAGGAGTTTTCCATTTTTGCTGACAGGAAAAATGGTGAGTGAAAGTTATCAGCATAAAGAACCAATGGACATACACATTCACACAGGGGAATATTGAAAGGGTTAGAGATAAGCATGAATAAGCATAAAATGTGCAAGAAATACTAAAGGAAATACACGATAAGGGGTTAGATACATGGGAAGAAATAAGGAATCTGCAAAGATAGGGTTTAATGAATATGTAGGTGAGCCTCTGAGGTACTTTGCCAGTCATGTGACATGGTAGTTGCGCACTTTCATGGATGGTTGGAACCAGTGCTGCTCAAAGAAGGGAGTTGTGCTGCCATATCACATGTATATTGTTTATAAATATTTTTTAAAGAAACCTTGACATCTGGCCAGAGATTAAATGGAGAACATTAAACATGGTGGTAACAGTGAAGGCACAAATCTAGAGTAGATTGTGTCTTTCTCAAAAAATCTGAAGAACCATGAGGCCTGGTTGAGGGAACAGCAGGAAATTTCCTGAGAAAATTTGGTAAGTGGAAAATATTCCAGAGTGCGGAAAGTGAGGTATACTCCACAATATCAGCTTGTCCATGCCAGCTGAGCAAGGTATAGATCAACCTCAGGACTCCATTTGAAATATAAGGATAAAAACATAAAAAAATTACTGAATGCACCTACTTCAGTGTTTCCAGCCATGAGGGGAATTGGAAAACTCCTTTATTGGACACTTCCAATGCAGTTACGTCACATTGAAGGATGAGTTTATTTGAGATAGAATACTCAATGATAAACTCTCAGATTTTTTTGCTGTTCAAAGGCTCAATGTTAGACCAGGCAGTCGAGCATTCAAATCAGGCCAAAGGGCTGCTGTGGCAGAGTGGTAATGTCCCTACCTCTGGGTTCAAGTCCCACTTGTCTCAGAAATATATTGTACCATGCATGAATGGACAAATTAAAAATATCTATCAGGCAGGAAGAGTTCAGTGTGCAAAACAAAGGGTAGTTTGATCTTAGAGTAGGATAATAGGTTGGCGCAACATCGTGGGCCGAAGGGCCTATACTATGCTGTATGTTCTACGTTCTATGTTCTATGTGATTCGGCTCAATCTGAGGCTCAGTTCCAGCCTGTGAATTGGCTAGGCCCAAAGACAATGCTGGCATTGTTATGCAAGAAGGCAATAGAAGTGACAAGTTGTTCAGTAGGGGACATCTATTGCTTTCACTGGCAGAATCAGTTATTTTCAACAATTATGCAAAGCAAAATTATCTCTAACAGGTGAATCAAGCAAATAATTCCTGAACAAAGTAGGATTCAACAAACTGAATGACAAACAGAAGAAAACATGGAAATTGCACACTTTCTTGGTCAAGTGGAAATTACTGACTCTGCAATAGAATTGATGATCGAGACCAGGACTTTTGGCCAGTCACCTTGAAAATCAATTTGGATTTTCTTCTCAATTCAAGAGGAATTATTATTGTTCTGCCTGATACTTTCAAATGGTTTTCAAATCATCAAGTTCTGGAGAACATACCATTTTCAGTTAAAAACAGAAAGTGCTGGAGAAATGCAGCGGATCTGGCAGCATCTTTATGTATTATAGAATCAGAACAAGTTCTTGAGTTCACAAGCTTATCTGCAACTAGGCTATCTGCAGCTGGTAGAAAATGCTCCTGCTAGACTGAAGATGCATAATGCCAAAATGGTGACTATATTCTATTTTGTGAGATTTAACCTCAGGATCACGAGGAATATGGGCATTTGACCCAAAAAAATTGAACAACATTACATAAAGATTGATCTCGCCTATTTCAGGCTTTTGATGTTTCATAGGGAGTAAATTGAAGCTTTTTTTTTGTCAAATATCACCCCAGTTATTCCAAATATTTCATTAACTTCATGATACTCCTCCAGTCATACTTGAAGAAGATGAGCCTATTTCTATAGAAGTTTCTTGAAAGGAGACATATGCAGGGGGTGAACCAGAGAACGTGTCATTGTCAGAGCCAATTCTGGTGTTTCAAGAAGAAAATCCTGCTGTACCTGCACATGAGCATACAAATTAGGAGCAAAAGTAGGCTAATTGGTTCTTTTTAGCATGCTCCACTGTTCAATAAGATTGTGTTTGATTTGTTTGTGTTCCAAATGCAACATGCCCATCTGTCCCGAATAATCTTTGATTCCCTTGCCTCAGGTGATCTGCCTACCACTGCTGCCTTAAAAAAACTCAATGACCTCCTCTCCACTGCCTCCTGAGACAGTGTTCTAAAGTCTCACGATCCACAAGAGAAAAAAATATGTCCCCTCATCTCAGTCATAAAACTTTTAATTTTAAAACAGTATCCCCTAGTTCTGGGCTCACTAACAAGAGCAAATATCCTTTCCATATCCACCTTGTCAAGACCACTCAGGATCTATAGTCTTCATTCTACTGAACTCCAGTGGAAAAAAGCCTGGTCTACTCAACCATTCCTCATCAGGCAACCCACTCATACATCACTTCTGAGTGATTGACGCAGTATATTAAGATCCCTCTGATACTCCTGAAGATCATAGTGAACAGAATTCTGATGAAGAGTCACTGCACTCGAACATTAACTCTGCTTTCTTCCTGTAAATGCTGTCAGACCTTCTGAGTCTTGTCAGCAATTTCTGCTTTTGTTTCGGATCTGCAGCAGTTCTTTGTTTTATAACAGAATTCTTCATTTGTTTCTATTGCCAAATTATGTGACAAATAGTTTAATGAAGGAGCACTACCTGTGACCATTGAAGATGTGACAACAAGGTGCAGGGCTGGATGAACACAGCAGGCCAAGCAGCATCATAGGAGCAGAAAGGCTGACGTTTCGGGCCTAGACCCTTCATCAGAAAAGGGGGAGGGGAAGGGGGTTCTGAAATAAATAGGGAGAGAGTGGGAGGAGGATAGAAGATGGATAGAGGAGAGGATAGGTGGAGAGGAAACAAAAAGGTCGAAGAGGCAGGGATGGAGCCAGTAAAGGTGAGTGTAGATGGGGAGTTAGGGAGGCAATAGATCAGTCCAGGGAGGACGGACAGGTCAAGGGGGCGGGATGAGGTTAGTAGGTAGGAGATGGGGTGCGGCTTGAGGTGGGAGGAGGGGATAGGTGGGAGGAAGAATAGGTTAGGGAGGCAGGGACGAGCTGGACTGGTTTTGGGATGCGGTAGGGGGGAGGGGAGATTTTGAAACTTGTGAAATCCACATTGATACCATTGGGCTGCAGGGTTCCCAAGCGGAATATGAGTTGCTGTTCCTGCAACCTTCGGGTGGCATGGTTGTGGCACTGCAGGAGGCCCAGGATGGACATGTCGTCTGAGGAATGGGAGGGGGAGTTGAAATGGTTCGCGACTGGGAGGTGCAGTTGTTTATTGCGAACCGAGCGTAGGTGCTACCATTGAAGACGTGATGGAACTACCAGCACTTTCAATTATGCAATAAATTCACCCTGATCTTTCAACCAGCAACAAAGAAATTGGACTCTCCTATGCCCTAGCCCACACTCCCACACACCAAGCCTTGTTATTACAGCTTGCTATTACACACGACCCTTTATTAACCACTAACAGTCTCCATTAACAGCTATTCACCCTCCTAGCCAGATCATTATCCACTCCTTTGTCTGTCCAACTGTTCTTCTCTCTCTTTGGTCTCCTATTGTTTAACTCCTTACCCATTCACCCCAGCCTGTCTTCTGCATAAAAACCAACATTTTCCTAGCTACAGAGATAGTAGGAACTGCAGATGCTGGAGAATCTGAGATAACAAGGTGTGGAGCTGGATGAACACAGCAGGCCAAGCAGCATCAGAGGAGCAGGAAGGCTGACATTTTGGGCCTAGACCCTTCTTCAGAAATGGGGGAGGGGAAGGGGGTTCTGAAATAAATAGGGAGAAGGGGGAGGCGGATAGAAGATGGATAGAGGAGAAGATAGGTCTAGGCCTGAAACGTCAGCCTTCCTGCTCCTCTGATGCTGCTTGGCCTGCTGTGTTCATCCAACTCTACACCTTGTTATCTCACATTTTCCTTGCTACCATCAGTTCTGAGGAAGGGTCACACCCAAAACATTAGCTCTGATTTCTCTCCACAGATGCTGCAGACTTACTGAGCTTTTCCAGCAATTTCTGTTTTTGTTTCTGATTTACAGCTTCCGCAGTTCTTTTGGTTTTAAACATGCAGATTAAACCTGATGAGATTGTACAGGATCATGGAGAGCAATAAACACCTTTGCATATCTAAGAAAGTCCTTCAGCAATACTGAACATACAGATGATGTTTTTGCTTTGCTTGACAGCTGAGAAAATTCTTTGTCTCGTGTTCTAGGCATACTGTCAGAAATAATGCCACTTAATGAAAAAAAGTTCTTCTTGGATCGCCTTTTCATCCAGAATGGTTTACAGACATTAGATATGGTCTCCCAAAGCAATAGCAATCTCTGAAGAGAGATTCTCTAATTCACAGTTCTTATGTGAGTCTTTTGAAGAAGTAAATCCATACTCTGCAGTCTTCCTGATGATTCACTCACCTCTTCATCCTAAATTTGAGAATTTGGCACAAGGACCTCAATTAGTAAATGTATTGCTAATGTAGAGTAACAGTGAAACCTGGCAACTCTTATTTGATGGTATAACTTCACAGTTCAGCATTGTTTTATTGCCAAATGACTTTTTCTACTAAAGATACCATGGGGAATTACTACAAGCTGAAACTGATCAAAGTGAAGTGGTATCCTAGTCATCACCTAGCAGCCTTGATATTGATGCAACAGCCCAAAGGCAACCAGTCTGATGAATACCATGAAGTCCAGGATAATGTTACCAATCCTGATACTTTCATTTCAGCTGCTGAAAGCACCATTCACAGTCACCGGTGTTGATTTTGGGATCTCATGATCACAGTTACCCCATATAGGCAGTCGACAACTTGTAGCAATTTTCTGACAGTTTATTGAGTTTGTTAAGAAGCAGCAGTTTAGATATACATGAGTTAATTAGATAAAGAAAGTACATGACTTTAGCAAATGAGAATGCTTCATCAATCCCAAATCTGTTCTCTAAAATGGAGTGAATTCTGAAGTGGTATCTTTGTCTTTGTTCTTTCCTCAAGCTAATTGTAGGGGAACACCTGGTCTTCTATCAAGAGAGTAGTAGATCATTTCCCTGGATCCTTTCACTCACAACCATTTCTCCCCACCTAACCCTGTTAATATATCTTATTTTGGAGTTGGCCATCTATGTTGCCTCAAGCACCTGCTTAAACCCTCTTAATTAATGATGATGGGCAGCTAATCATAGTGCCAGAATGACCACGGTCATCTCTAAGAGTACCCACTTTCATCTGAGGGTTAGTTCACCATTCTTTTGAAGAAAAAAAGACCTATTTTCCCAAAGAACACACGGACAATAGGGTATATTTGGTGCCAGATAAATTGCTGACATTAGTTCAATAGGCATTGTGACCTCAGTATTTTTTGTAATTCTTCTTTTGTTTTTATGTGCCAGAAATTTGGTAAGTTATTACCTTGTACTCCTGTAATAGCTATTCAAGGAAATCTCATTACACAGTAAATAATAGGAAAATTTTGTTTTTAAGGGATCCCAGTTTCTACCACCAGATTATTACCCTCATTCTCAATTTCCAATGTCCAAACCTGGGAGAACTGTCTCCATGCAGGTGAATCTGTCAACAGCGGACTTCGGGGGAGATAGTGAGATTGGAATTATTCTGTTAAGTGGGAAAATGTTTAGTTGAATGTTATTAATCAAGAAAATACTTTCAGTTGACAATATTAGAAACTGATGATGTACTTGGGGCAGATGTAGACAGGGTTTAATAATATGTTTTTAAAACTCTGAGGAATTTTGGGATGGAACTGTGACCTCAGTAATCATGCCAGAAAACTTTTCTAGAGGGTTGAAGCTCGAGTAACTCAGAGCAAGAAGCTTTGCTGACTGTAAACATGTGGCTATTCTTAGTAAATATTGTTGAAAGAAACTTTGAGTCCGGTCTAAGCTTATTTGAAGAAGCGATGCTGAGACAGTAACAGTATAGAAAGGGTATAGAAATACACAAAGGTAAAGGGAGAAATGATAGGGTCAGGGACAGAGAACTGACATACATAAAGGGACAGCTGATAAAGTCAGAGGTAAAGAAATCTAATGGAGGATAAGAACAGCAAATGAAAGGCATGCTCGGGCAGATATCACAAAGAGTCTGCATACTAGTAGCAGAAATGTTATGAACCTCCAGTCACCAGTTTTGTATGTGTAGAAAGGCTGTTTCAGGATTTTCTGCCGGTTTCATACAATTGTGCCTTGATATCTTATTGCTAGAGAATTTAGCCTCATTGTCACTGTTGTCTTCATTTTTGCAGGAGATGTTGTCAGACCCATCAAAGCAAATGAATACATTTTTGACTTCCTGTTAGATGATAACTCCATCAGTCTTCATTTCCGACGCGTTATTTGGACACAACCTTTGCATTTTTACAATGATCTCTGTGTTTCTGTACATTATAATCAGGTAAATCTTTGATCAGTGTTTTCACCTTTAAAGTGACTGGTGCCTCTTATTTATTCAACCCAGTTCTGTTGTTTTTTAGGTACTTCCTATTTACCTCAAAGGACAGTTACTTTTTCCAACAAACATTCATGGGGCAGAACAGCACACTGCGATACTGGCAGCATATCAGCACAAAACCAAAGGATCAGGCCCTATGTTAGATGTGTAAGTAAACAAATCTCTTTTTACAATGAGAAAACAAAGGTGATGAGTGTACAGTACGACATACCAATAAGGTTGAAAATATCAGAAGAAATGTGGTTAATTAGGATGTAGTAATTAGATAGTCCTAACCTTTAGGGTTTTAATTGTAAGGTGCTGATGATTACTACCTGAGCTATATGGAATTTGGTATAGGGTAAATAAGATTACAGAGATGCGTGTATTGCACAAAGACTGTGTGGGAGAATAAGTTCCAGTTCATTAGGCACTGGTACTACTACTGGTGCAAGTGGAATCTGTCAAGACAATCTACACCTTAACCATAAAAACCAAAAGAACTGCAGATGCTGTAAATCAGGAACATAAACAAAGTTGCTAGAAAAGTTCAGCAGGTCTGGCAGCATCTGTGAAGGAGAAAACAGAGTTAACGTTTCGGGTCCGGTGACCCTTGCTCAGTAACAATTCCAGCCTCAGTCTGAGTTTGCACGTTCTCCCTGTGTCTGCATGAGTTTCCTCCTAGTGCTCTGGTCTCCTCCCACTCTTGAAAGATGTGCAAATTAAGTGGTTTGGCCATGCTAAATTGGCGCTGGCCTCATAGTCGAAGACGGCGGTTGAGAACAGGTTAGAGGGGGATGGATGCTGTGGGTGGCACGGTGGCTCAGTGGTTAGCACTGCTGTCTCACAGCGCGAGGAACCTGGGTTCAATTCCAGCCTTTGGCAACTGTCTATGTGGAGTTTGCACATTCTCCCCATGTCTGCGTGGGTTTCCTCCAGGTGCTCTGGTTTCCTCCCACAGTCCAAAGATGTGCAGGGTAGGTGGATTGGCCATGCTAAATTGCTTGTAGTGTTCAGGGATGTTTAGGTTAGGTGGATTAGACTAGGGGAATGGGTCTGGGTGGGATGCTGTTTGGAGGGACGGTGTGGACTTGTTGGGCCGAATGGCCTTGTTTCCAAGGAAGTGCAGACTAGGTGGATTAGCCATGGGAAAAGCAAGTTTGCAGGGATAGATGGATCTGAGTGAGGCAGTGTGAACTCAATGGGCCAAATGGCCAGCCTCCACACTATAAGGATTCAATTATTCTAAAACAAGAAGCTAGCTAAGGATGCAAGGGTAGTTCTGAAAATCAAAAATAGCATTGGTGCAATAGTTAGAAATGGCCTTGTTTCAGGAGATCAAGATGTAGAATTGGTTTAGATGGAGATGAAGAATAGTGGAAAAAATTAATCAGTGGGTCTACAGGCTGCTAAGAATAACCACAATGGAGGATAAAGTTTACTAGAAGAAATACTGGGTGTTTGTGGTAAAGGATAGGCAACAATCATGGGTGACTTTAATCTGCATATTAAGTGGAATAATCAGATTGGCAATTGTACCATGAATGAGTAGTTCACAGAATGCTTTCAAGATCATTTATTAGAGTAACAGGTTCTGGAAGCAACCAGAAAGCAGGTTATGTTAGACTTATACTGTGTAATGAGGTGGGATAAATTCATGACTTCAGAATAAAAGTGATCCTAGGTAGTAACAACCGCAATATGATTGAATTTTACATCCAGATTGAAAGGGTAGAGAATGGGTCTAAGACTAGTATTTTAAACTTAAGTAACAGAAACTTTAAAGCATAGTATTATAGAATCCCTACAGTGCAAAAAGAGGCCATTCAGACCATCAATTCTGCACCAACCCCAGTATTTATCATGGCTAATCCAACTGGCCTACACATCCCATGATAGTACAGGCAATTTAGCATGGCCAATCCACCTAACCAGCACATCTTTGGACTGTGGGAGGAAACCGGAGCACCCGGAGGAAACCGGAGCACCCAGAGGAAACCCACACAGACACAGGGAGAAAGTGCAAACTCCACACAGCTATCCAAGGTTAAAATTGAATCTGGATCCCTGGCACTGTAAGGCAAAAGTGCTAACCACTGAGTCACTGTGTCAGAATATACAAAACAGAAACCCAGCAATAAAAAAGTTATTGTTTTGAGTCCAGTGATACCTAATCAAATTGAGGCATAAAAGCTGAGCTAGCTGAAGCTAGGATACGAGATTGGAAGATAGATCAATACAGAAGTGGCAGATGTAGGATGATATTTGAAAATAAAATAACTATATTCTTACTATACAGAAAAATTCCAAGGGAAAGACCCACCCTCCATTGTTAACTGAAGGAACTCATCAAACTTGCAGAAAAGACGTGATTCCATAAAGAAGAATGACAGTTCAGATGATTAGCCAGAATACAAAAAAGAGCAAAGAATGACTGAAAGATTAAACAGGAGATAGAAACTAGGGCATGTTAGCAAGCTAGCTGGAAATGTAAAAATAGATAGCAAGAGTTTATACAGGTATCTAAAAAGAAAAAAATATACAAATTGTGTTGATCCTCTAGAGAATTAGAACAAAGAATTAATAATTGATGATAAGGAAATGGTGGAGGAAATGAACAAATATTTTGCTTCTGTCTTCATGGAAGAGGTTGCAAAAGTAATTGCATTAATAACTGTAAATCAGAAGGTTGAAAGAAGAGAGGAACATGGTGATATTATAATCAACATGGGAGCAGTACTCAGCAAAATAACAGAGCTGTGGGCTGACAAGACTCTGGGTGCTGATAGATTGCATACTTGAATGAGGTAGAAAATGTATTGGTGTTAATTTTTCAAAATGCACTAATCATGTAAATATTCCATTAGATTGAAAAGTAGCATACATAATGTCTCTATTCGAGAAGGAGGGCAGGCAGAAAATAGGAAACTATAGGCCAGTTAGCTTGATGTCTGTCATGGATAATTTGTTAGAATTGATCATTAAGGAAGTTGTAACTAATTACTAAGAAAAATACAAAGTAATCAGGAAGAATCAGCATTGTTTTGTGAAAGGGACATGTTTAATCAATTTATTGGAGTTCTTTGAAGGAGTAACATGTGCTGTGCTTAAGCTGGGGTTGCCTGTTAACACACTGTACTTGGATTTCTACAAGGCACATGTCAAAATGCCATATAAGGGGTAACATAAAAGAAGCTGAAAACAGAATATGCATAAATGGGCATTTTTCTGATTGATGGGATGTAACAAATTTGTTCCCACAAACCAACTGACATTTTACAACTTTACATCAATGGCTTAGATGAGGGGAGTAAAGCCATGGTGGTTAAATTCACAGATGACAAAGATGGGTAAGAAAGTATGTTGTGAAGAGGATAAAAGAGGTTGTAGAGCAATATAGGTTGAGTGAATAGGCAAAAATCTAGTAGATAGAGTATAATGTGGGAATATGTCAAATTATTCACTTTGGCAGGAAGAATAAGCAATATTATTAAATGATTGCAAATTCTGAGGTGTAGAGGGATCAAGGCACTCTTGTGAATGTGTCACAAGAAGTTAGTGTGCAAGTAGTTAAGAAGGCTAATGGAGTGCTTTCATCTATGACAAGAATTGAACATAAAAGTAAAGATGTTATGCTTCAGTTCTAAAGGCATCAGTGAGACACATCTTGAACACTGTGCATAGCTTTAGCCTCTTTATTGAGGGAAAGATGTAAAAGTACTTGAAGTGCATCGTGATTACAACAAGGACTGCCAACTGGACCTCACAGAATATAAATTCCCTGATTGGGAATGTTAATCTGGTCCAATCATGCAGCCCTGGCTGACAGATAAAAAGGGTGACTGTCAGAGATACTGACACTCTGGTACCTGATTCTGTATGAGGCAGTACTATATAGTCAAGGACTATTTTTGTGTAACAAAAGGGTGACTTGGTGATCGGATGTGGGCCTCTGTGGAGTTATGCCAAGATGATTCAGTGGAGGTTTATTAGGTTGGTACCTGGACTGAGTGGATTGTCTTATAAGGAAAAGTTGGACAAACTGGGCTTGTTTCCCCTGGCCATATAGAAGAATGAAATGTGACATGATTGAAGTGTATAAGATCCTTATTGGTGTTGACAAGGTGGATGTGGAAAGGACGTTTTCTCCTGGATCAGTGAGTCCCAAGCTATGGCGCAGTGTTTTGATACAAGAGGTCACCCTTTTAGGACAGAGATGAGGACAGTTTTTTTTTCTCTCAAAGGGTTGTGCAATTTAAGAACTCTGCCTCAGAATGTGGCGAGGGTGTATCATTGAATGTTTTTAAGTAGGAGATGGATGACATTTTTGTTAGACAATGGAATCCAAGATTATCAAGAACAAATGAGAATGTATAATTCTAAACACAAACAAATCTGCTCAGACCTTACTGAATGATGGAGCAGGTTTTGCCCCCAATTCATGTTTTATATATCAGCATCTGATAGATAAAAATATGTAAATGGTTTATCTCCAACTGTACTGAAGACAATATTGATTATTTTGTAGTTTTTCCAAATGCAGAGAGGCCTGCTGCACCTTTGCAGCATTTTCTGGGTTTATTTTGAAAAACAGGAAACTAAACAGTTCACTGATATTGTTAAGATTCTCGGATAGTAAAGTGGGAATAAAAGTCCTAAGAAGAGAACAAGAAATAGGAGCACGAGTAGGCCATTCAATGAGATCATGACTTATCTGATTGAGGCCTCAAGTCCACTCTTCTGCTGCCCACCTCCATAACACTTGACTCCATTGGGAGCCAAATTTTTTACTCAGTCTTGAATAAATTCAGTGAGTCAGCTTTCTCTAATCTCTGCTGTAGAACATACAAATGATTCACAACTCTCAGAAGAAACTCTTCTTCATTTTTACTTTCAATGATGGCTAGGGAGGGTAAACTGGATAGCACGTCAGAGTTTTAGTGCTGCCCATTCCTCTACCGGAACCCTCTCATCTTGGTAGTGGTGGACTTACTGTAGGCTACTTCTACTGCACTCTCTTTTCTCTTTTTTTAATTATTTTTCTCAATTAAATAAATCATAAATAAAATGTAAAATTGACCATTTTAAGATCTCATGGAGTACTTGCTGTTCCTTTTCCCTGAGGGAAAATAGGGTAAATAATAGCACTGTACAGATAGCTCAGGGCAGTGTCACGTAAGATAGTTCACAGTGTTTGTCTTGGGTTTGATAGCTCCAGGTTTTTGTCTCTACAGGCAGCAGCTGAAGGCTTACCTTCCTAAAACCATAGCGGCAAAATTGAATATTGAGAGGGTCCTGAAGCAAACTATCCAAGAACTCGAAACAATGCAGGAGCTCAGTCCTGTGAAAGCCAAGATCCAATTCTTATGTAAGTGTATTTGTGATGAGGAAACAAAAAAGTTGTTAAACTGTTGCAGTAACATCTAAGAATGCTGCCTCATGAAATGGAGAGTTACCCGAGGAGACGAATCAGTAAAAATGTGATGACAGCAGCAATCTTCTATAGTTCTTTGTGATACTTTCTTAGGTCCTCAGGAAAGGGGCCCATAGTGCAGCAATGAATTATAAGTCTTGTCTATTCTTCAATCCTCAGTGGAATGGGGATGGGATGTCATCACTGTCGTTAGACCAATATCCTAGAATTCCCTGACAGTGCTGTGGGCATATCTACCACCATGGATTCCAACTCACTATCATTCTCTCATCCACATATTTCATGAAGGAATAAAAAAAAACTCTGCCTCTTCAGGTTAAATGGAATATGCATTAAATACAGTTCTCTGACATGGCTCGCACTGCTGCGAGCCAGGGGCATGGGTTTGATTCCAGCGTTTGGCGTCTGTCTGTATGGAGTTTGAACATTCTCCTTGTGTCTGCATGGGTTTCCTCTGGGTGCCCCAATTTCCTCCCACAATCCAAAGATGTGCAGGTTAGGTGGATTGGCCATGCTAAATTGCCCATAGCGTTAAAGGATCTGCAAGATAGGTGGATTAGTCATGGGAAATGCAGGGTTACAGCAATAGGGTAGGGGGTTGGGTCTGTGTGGGATGCTCTTCAGAGAACTGGTGTGGATTTGATGGACCATATGGCCTGCTTCCACACTGTAGGGAGTCTATAAATATATATAGGTAGAAAAAATGTGTAAAATCCATCTACACTTCCTCATTAAGCTATTTGAAACATCTCAATACTCTTTAAAGTTATTTACCAATAAAAAAAATGTTGAAAATGCCAAAAATACAGTACATTTATCAGCACCAGAAAAAAGTTCACATTTCAGATAAAGTTACTTATTCAGAAAAGACTCAAGCTCCTACAAAAGGAGTCTGATACACTATTAGCAGTTTCTGGACTCATTGCAAATTTCCAGTTCTCACATTATTTAAGACCATAAAATACAGGAATAGGAGTAAGTCATTTGGCCCCTCGAGTCTGCCCCCCTTTCATTAGGACCATGATTGATCCAACACTCCTCATGTCCACTGTCCCACTCTTTCCCCATAACTCTTTCCCCATAACTCTTGATTCCCCTAATGATCAACAATCTCGCTATCTCAGCCTTAAATATACACATGGACTCTGCCATTACAGTTGTCTGTGGCAAGGAGTTCCAAAGATGCACAACGTTCTAAGAGAAGAAATTCCTCCTCATCTCAGTCTTAAATTGGTGCCTGTTAATTCTGACTGACCTCTGGTCTTAGACTTGCTCATGAAGGAAAACATCCTCTCAGCATTACCCCTTTCCATCCCCTTAAGAATCCTGCATCACTCAATGAAATCACTTCTCATTCTTCTAAATTCAAATGAAAAGAATCCCATCCTGTTTAACATTTACTTATAAGTCAATCTCTCCATATTGGGGATGATCCTAGTGAACCTTCTTTGAACTGCCTCCAGTGAAATAATATCTTTCCTGAGTAACAACTCTCAGTTTCAAAAGCACAGGGACCATCTGATCTTCGATACTGATTCATACTGAGTAAGTCACCTGTATGGGATTCTGTTAAATATTCAAAATAATTCCCAATAGGAATCTTTAGAGCTAACAGACAAAGCAGATTTACATCCTATTAGTATTAGCTGGATTTAAATCCAGATTTTGGAGATAAAGAGCGGGATCTAATCAATACACTGAAGAATTTGAATTATAATAATTGGGCAGAAGAGATGCTCATTCAAAATACCAGTTTATCTGCACCCTTCAAAATGAAAGGTTGCTGCTCTGACCTGTTGCAGTTCCATGCCCTCATGGACTATCCTTTGGATCTTATACTTAAACTGCGATAGCGACTCACAGTGAGATTGTTATTGTGAGAATATTTCCCTTCATCTATGATCGTTTACCGCAAACGTATTTTACTCCAGAAATTTGAAGACAAAGCCTTCAGAAAATGTCAAACAGCTCATAACCTCTCCCCAACAACTCCCTCCTCCCACCCTAGAATTGAAGGACAAGCAAGGCAACACCTTACCGTACCAGGGAATCTGTTCCCTGGGGACTTGAGAATATACCCTGAAATACTGCAGGAGATTGTTGCTGTCACTACATTTTTACTGATTGTGATACTTAGCTAACATTTCATTCTATCAGACAGTAAGACATTTCCAAGTAAAAATAAAGGATAACTTGGAGAGGAACTTTCATGGTGGTGTTCCATGTATCTGCAGCTTTTGACCATCTAGGTCAAAAGTTGGGAAAGTGCTGGAAGGAACCTTAGTGAGTTACTGCAGTATATCTTGTAGATACCATGCATACTACAAATGACAAACTTCAATCCTACAACAAAGGCAAGTCTCACCCTGAAGAGGGAGAAACCAAATAGCCCAGAAGTTCTCAAGTGACATGAGTGCCCAAGTTTGTTTGGTGTATTGGCTTAATAGTGGTTCATCAGCTTTATACTATGGAGCAAAACTTTAAAACTGACCAAACCTTACAACTTTAATTCATTGAATTAAATATATATAATTAAATATATTGAATTTTCAATGTTATTAAATCCTAGTTAGCAGAAAGTCGGCTTGCACCTCTTTTCTCTTACATTGAATGAGACAGCAGCCGAAGAAAATGCTGGTTGATCTTGTTGCTATATTTTAAGATTCTCAGTCTCTCATGTATAACAGTTCTAACGTATTGTGATTCTCGGTCATTGATGTATAAATTTCTAATGTATTTTGACTATCTGTCTGTTATTATCTGTCTTGTGTTCGGTAAAACACTCTAATAAAACTTCAATCAAGTTAGACTGACTACATTCCATGCGCTCTGCATCCACTCAATCAAAATAGCACTGCACAACTGCAGCTTTATGCTGTGATTAGTGGCATTCCTGCAGTACAGATCTGGCACTGGAGAGAATATTCCCATAAATTGATGTTCAAACAGAAAAATCAAGGAAAGCAGTAGCAAGGAAGCCTTGTGCCAAATTTCATCTCTTAAATCTGTCTACTTACATTTAAACTTGATTCCTCACTAACATTAATATGGTCATCAATGCCTTGCCCATCATACTGCACATAAATGGCGCTGAGTGCTTAAGACTCCATCAGATCTCCTTTTGTTCCTACTTCTTTATAGCTGATGAAGATGAGTATCAGAACATGATTGGGAAACTGTGCCTGCTTCTTTGAAAGCTGGATTCATTCACAGCCAATTCAAAAGCTGGGTATTTCTGCTCCCTTTAAAATTAGCCCTCTCTTTAATTGCTCCTCTTCACCTGTATTGGCTTCCCACTGAACAGCAGATAACAAACTGGCAGTTCATTTGTAGTTAGGCCTCGTTCTCAAAAATAGATCAGGATCTGTCTCAATGTAGTTCTGGCAACAATACCTATATTATGATTACGGGTTCTTGTGATGCAATTGTAGTGTCCCTACTGAGCCAGGAGGCCTGGGTTCAAATTCCACCTGCTCTGGAAGTGTGGCATTACATCCCTGAACAAGTTGATTTGAAAACATCTTCAAGCATTCATAAAGACAGAGTGTTTGTTCAGAGGTAGTAGGGAGTAAGGAGCCATATATAAATTTACATTCTGTGGGGCTGGTTAGTTCAGTTGGCTAGATGGCTGGTTTGCAACATAGACATCAACAGTGTGAGTTCAATTCCTATGCTGGCTGAGATTATATGAAGGTCCCTCCTTCTCACCTTGTCTCCTCACCTGAGATGGGGTGACCCTCAGGTTAAACCAACACCAGTCATCTCTCTCAAGGGGAGGCAGTGGTGTAGTGGTAATGTCACTGGACTAGATTAATTAGCCCAGGTTGATGTTTTAGGGACATGGGTTCAAATCCAATCAAAGCAATTTTTTTTAGCAATGAAGAGAGGCTGGATAAGCTCAGCTTGTTTTCTTTAGAGCAGAGAAGGCTGAGAGGGCACCTGATTGAGGGGCATGGATGGGGTGGATAGGAAGCAACTGTCTGCCTTAGTTGAAGGGTCAATAACAAGGGACATAATTTTGCAGTGAAAGGCAAGACATTAAGAGGCAATTTGAGAAAAAGGGTTTTTAACCCAGAGGGTGGTGAGAATCTGGATTGTACAGGTCGGAAACATCACAATCTTTAAAAAGCACTTAAATGGGCACTTGGAATGCCATAACATTCAAAGCTACAGGCCAAATATTGGAAAGTGGGACTAGTGTAGATTTAGAGAGGTTGTTTTGTCAGTGTTGACTCAGTAGGCTGACGGACCTCTTCCATACTGTATGATTGTATGAATACAACCTTTCAAGTTCATCCCTCTGGTCATTTTATTCTATTTGTTCTTGGGTTGTAAGGTAAAACCTTAAAGACACCACACTGTCAGCAACTAAAGTGCCATGTAGTCCAAACTAAGAAGCTGTGGAGGCAGGTCCCCTTCCAAAAGGACATTAATGAACCAAATAGTCTTTTGAATGAAAATCCAGTTTCCTGACCACTTTTCGTTAAATTAAATTAATTTTCACAATTCTTGAATTCTGAGCTGCGAGCTCTACCATAACCACCATACAGGAAATGTCCACACATAACCAGGGTTTATGATGAGGGTGGTTCACTCAGCTGGTTCAACCCCAAACCCAAATTTGAATCAAGTCCAGACTAATGGCAGGTCTCCTCTTTATAGTTGCAACAAGTTGTAATTTAAATAAACATGTTCAGTTTAGGTCTATTTCTTATCAGGAAAGCCAATAGCACAAAATTGTTAATGATACAGCTCTGTTTGCCTCAGAAAGGTTTCTGTGCAAATAGAAATATTGTACTGGTTCATATTTTATTTCTGTCACTGAGTGTTGAACATGAAAATGCATTTCATTTCCAATTCTGATATACTTCATTTTGACAATTTAAACGTTTTGTTACCACATATAAATTAGAAGTAATGCATCTATGAATGCT